AACTAGGAATAGAGGTTTGCAAGCATGACACCGAGTTGAAACCCCAGACCCACACGCACACACACACACACAAATCGCTGGTAATAGAGGGAGCTTCTTAAGTGTGGTGAAGAGCACTTAATAAAGACATACAGGATTTTTTTTGGGGGGGGGTGGTGAGGGCAGTACTGGGATTTGAATTCAGGGCCTCACCCTTGCTAGGCTCTATCACTTGAGCCATTCCTCTCAAGCCCTAATTTTGTGTTGGGTATTTTCGAGATAGGGTCTCTCAAACTATTTGCCTGGGCTTGCTTTGAACCACCATGCTCCTGATTCTACCTCTTGAGTAGCTAGGATTACAAGCGTAAGACACCGGCATCTGGCAAGAAAAACTTATAGTTAACATCACTTAACGGTAAGAAACTAAAAACTGCCAGGTGCTGGTGGCCACACCTGTAATCCTAGCTACTCAGGAGGCACAGATCAGGAGGATCACCATTCCAAGCCAGCCAGGGAAAATAGTTCTCGAAACCCTGTCTCAAAAAACCCATCACAAAAAAAGAGCAGGTGGAGTGGCCCAAGGTGTAGGCCCTAAGTTCAAACCCCAGTACTGCAAAATAAATAAATAAATAAATAACCAGTGTAAAATGGACTGGAGGTGTGGCTCAAGCTGCAGAACGCCTGCTTTGCCCTGATTTCAAACCCAGTCCCACAAAAAAAAAAAAAAAAAAGCCAGATAAGCTTTGACTGTTTTAACTATTTGCATCCTCTTGCCCACAATAAAGTCCTTTCTTCAGTTTTAGGAGGAAACTACAATGAGCTATCATTTCACACCTTTTAGAAGGGCTACAATTAGGGTTGGATATAGTTTAGTGGTACAGTACTTGTCTAGCATGTGTGAGACCCTTGGTTCAATCCCCTACCTCAAAAGAAAAGAAGATGGGAGCAGAGGGGAGGGAAGGGAAGGGAAGGGAACAGAAGGGAAGACTAGGGCTGGTGTAGTGACTCAAGAGGTAGAGTACCTCAAGTGGTAGGGAGCAAGTACAAAGCCAAGTTCAAACACCAGTACTAGGAAGGAAGGGGAGGGAGGGAGAGAAGGAGAGAAAGAGGGAGAGAGGGAAGGAAGGAAGGAGGGAGGGAGGGAGGAAGGAAGGAAGGAAGGGAGGAAGGAAGGAAGGAAGGAAGGAAGGAAACTAAAATGTTATAATCAAAAAGAAGAGATGAAGCTGGAAGCTAGGTGGCTCACACCTATAATCCTAGCTACTTTGGAGGTAGAGATCAGGAGGATTTCGGTTTGAAGCCAGCCCGGGCAAATAGTTTGTGAGACCCTATTTGCCCTTCACAAAAAAAAGGGCTGGTAGAGTGGCTCAAAGTGTAGGCCCTGAGTTCAAACCGCAGCTCCCTGCCCTCCCCCCCTCAAAAAAAAGCAGAAGAGATGAAAAACATGTTGGTGAAGATGTGAAGAAAGGGAACCCTTGCACACTGCTGATGGGAATGTGAATTGGTACAGCCATGATGGAAAACAGTATAAAGAGTACTCAAAAAAAAAAAAAATTACCACATGATCCATGAGTTCCAGTACTGAGTATATATCCAAAGGAAAAGAATAATTTTATATCAAAGAGACATCTGCACTCCCATGTTCACTGCAGCGTCATTTACAGAAGCCAGGATATGGAATCAACCTGTGTCCAACACAGATGAATGAATAAAGAAAATGTGGTGCCAGGCATAAAAGCTTTACATCATGTAGGGTGAAATAAGCCAGTCACAGAAAAACAAATGCCTCATGATTTCACTCATATGCAGAATCTAAAAAAGTTGAACTCATAGAAGCACAGAATAGAATGATGGTTACCAGGAATGGGGGGTTGAGGACAAATTGGTCAAAGGAGTCAATGTTTCAGTAAGGCAAGAGGAATAAGTTCAAGAGATCTATTGTACAAACTATAGTTAATAACAGCATATGGTACATTTAAAAATTGCTGAGAGTAGATTTTAACTGTTCTGTCCACAAATAAATAAGCATGTGAGGTAATGCATATATTAATTAGCTTGGTTCAGTCATTCCACAACATACACACATTTCAAAACATGTTGTACAACACAAATAAAATTTTTAATTTTAAGAATAATTATGGAAAAAGAAAAGGTAGAACAAATCATTCACAAATATATATGAGGCTAATATGCCTAGTATTAACAAGCAAAGAGCTTGTGCATCATTAAGATAAATAAGAAAAAGGATAAGAGACACCTAGGCATTCTCAGAAGAAAAAGCCAACAGACTTACAGGGACTGTATTGACCAGCCCTTAGGACGAGCAGATGTGTCCTGTTGTCTTTCCAGAGCTGATGGTTTGTGTGGTACAGTGGTTAGCTAAGGAGTCAGTCAGTGTTAGAGCCAGCTTAATGCATGATCATCAGCAAGTGTGGAGCCTTCCTGTGCTGTCCTATCTGTAAGTACTAATGATTAGGCATCTCTAGTAACAGACTTTGACTTGGAGTAAATCCAGACATGGTGCTCACTCTGTGAGCAGCAGATGGTTGAGGACAAGGACTGCCTGGGCACTGCTACCAGTGACAGAGCCTGAGGAGTGGCCCCTACAAGCCTGAATGGTCAAGTATTTGTATTTTTCTACATCACCTATGTATGCCCTCACACTAGTGTATAAACATTTACGTATGTAGATTTAGAAAAGCAACCCGGCCGGCACCCATGACTCATGCCTGTAATCTAGCCAGGAAGCAGAGATCAGGAGGATCACAGTTTTAAGCCAGCCAAGGCAAATAGTTTGTGAGACCCTATATCAAAAAATTCCTTCACAAAAAAAGGGCTGGTGGAGTGGCTCAAGGTGTAGGCCCTGAGTTCAAACCCCAGTAGAAGAAAGAAAGAAAAGAAAGAAAACAAACCCAAATGCCAATTGAGGGTCTAGGTAAACTTAAAAATCAATAATAAAACTAACAGGAGAAGGTAGGTAGGTAGAGTTGACGAGGTCTTCCCTACCTATGTAGTGTTCAGGTTCTTTTGTTTTCCTTTTTTTGTTTTGTTTTGTTCTTTGAGACAAAGTCTTAAAGTCTCGCTATGTAGTTCAGGCTGGCCTCAGACTCCTGAGTGATACTCCTCCTGCCTCAGCCTCCTAAGTGCTAGGATATAGCCACATGTCACCACACCTGCTCACAGTACATATACTTAGACAAAATAAAGATGCTGCATTCTCTTGCTTACACATTTAGCCAAAATTGGGCTGGTGGAGTGGCTCAAGTGGTAGAGCATCTGCCTAGCAAACATGAAGCACTGAGTTCAAGCCCCAGTACCACACATACACACACACACACAAAATCCAAAAGAACAACAAACAATTTAGCCAATACCTGCAAGGCTCAGTTTCAGTCCTACACATACCACAGCCCAGAGGTAGCAATGAGCCAGCCTGAAGCATCCGATGCAGGAGGTCACAGGCATGGAGTCCAAGGGCCTTTTCCTCCTAGCACAGGCGCCATAGAACAGTTAACTTCCAGAGTAACCAGAAAGAACTTGGGCTGATAACCCAGGATGATGCAGTCAGGCACTTATGTTTCTCAACATAAGCCACGTGGAGCTGTGTCACTGGACTCACATGTGAACCCCTGAAGCAAGGTGACTCCTCCAGCTCAGTGAGGAAAGGGGATCAACCTATGTGAGCTGGCATGAGCACAGGATGTCTTTGACTCTAAACAACTTAGCTCAGAGAAGCAAGGTCAGGAGGCCTGGGATTGTTGATCACAAAGAACAGCAACTTCAATTCTCACCTGGGCCTCTGTGGACCCTCAGGAGAAAAAACTTAAGCACAAGACACCTGCTTTCCCATACACAGATATTCATGAATGTGAGCAAGCACATGCCTCGCAGGTTTACCTCTGACCGCTGGTGTCCCCTAGCACACAGCAATCAACCCTGGTGGAGGGAGAAATGGTGAGATGCAGGTTTGAACAAGCCACAGTTAGCCTGGATGTCAGTTTAAAGTCAAGAAGGGTAGCTGAACCTCAGCTCATTCCATTCTAACACCATACCACAGATACCCACTCATATAAGCCACGAAGCCTGAGGCCCAGGAATGAGGATTCTGCTGATAGTAGCATCTGTGCAGAGACTGCACAAGCAAGCACATAATAAACTTATGCACCAATGAACTTGCCCATGACCAGTGATTTCCACAGGGTCTCCATCCAAATGATCATAGCCACTCAAATCCAACAGCTCTAAAACTCAACCCACCATCTTCACTCCTGACCTCCCACCAGTCCTACCCCACCTATTTCTCTCCTGCATTATCACCATTCAGCTATCTGGGTCAGAAATCAGCACCACCAGCCCCTGTTCTTCCCTCTCCTTCTCCACTTGCACCAAGATCCCCTTCCAAAGTAGTCCTGCCTCTAGGGCCCCTCAAAGCCATCCTTCACCACAACAGCTGCTACAGTTCACATCCTCAGGCCGCTGCCTACAGCAGATCCTCTTGTGCTTACCTCACGGCATACGAGGTTATGGTTCCATCCAGTGCCCCCCTGAGCTGGCAAAGGGACCTCTGACAGCTGTGCAGAATGGAGCCCTACCCCGCAGCTGCACTGACGCTGCAGGAAAATCGGAACCTCAAATCCGGAAAGCCAGCTGCAGCTCAGCACCACCTAGCTCTCACCTTGCCCTCCCTGCTTTGTGGCCTACCCTGGACAAAGGTGCTTCAGATCCCTCTTTAACCCTCGAAGAGAACGCGCAAAGCCTGCCTTCCCCCGGCTGCACTGGCTTCGCGGCTCTCAGGGTTCAGGCTTAGTCCATCAGAGGGGGGCCGCTGGCAGCCGCGCGAGGGGCGCAGGGACGTGGACCACGCGCCCCTCGAGGAGGAGTTGGGTCGCAAGCTCCCGGGCCTCTCTTCCGGGTGTGACGAGGCCAAGTCCGCCCCGCAGGGCGCCAGGCCCACCCGAGCCGAGGTGAAGGGGCGGGCCCGGCCCCAAAAGCCCAGGACCTCCGGACGCCAGCCCGCTGACCTTGGAAAAGCGGCCCTCGAGTCGTCTTCCCGTGCAGCCAGGCAAAAGAGGCAGCCCCAAGGCTTTCCAGCCCAGGTTCCCAGAGGACGCCTCCCCGGCGCCACCAAAGAAGTGTCCCCTCCTGCCGTTTACCTGAGCAGCCGCGGCCACCGCAGCCCGGGCACCGCCCTCCCGGCTTTCCGCGGCCTGGAGTGGGCGGAGCCTCGCTCCAAGCCCGCCCCCGAGACACTCTGACCAATCGCTGCCTGGCGCGCGGCAGTCTAGTCCCGCCTTCACCAGATCTTCACGCTTTATTGGTCGCAGTCATGTCCCTCACGCTAGCCCCATATTCCCTCCTCCCCCGCCCCCCCCGCCCCCGGGTACCGCCCTCAGCCGCCCCGTGACCAGCCGTACCTGGACTGTTGGGCTGTGGCACTGCCCCCGAGGGAGGTGGGGGCGGGGCCGAGCGCGAGGCGGCGTCTGTGCAGACGCTGTCCCCCGGCGCATTTGCACCCAGCAGGCTGTCTCCATACGACACGTGAACATCCCGGAACCCGCAGACGGCCCCACAGGTCCCGAAGGGGACAGTGTGGGCGCGTCATTGCGCTCAAGTGCGCGCAGAGCGAGCATTTGCAAACAAGTGTCCAGGTACACACGCCAGGTGCAGCCGTCCAGGACTGCACTGTCGTGTTCCGATATCTCTCACAGATAAACACACGGAACAAATCTGGCACCGGTACCTCACGCCTATAATCCTAGCTACTCAGGAGGCAGAGATGAGGAGGATCGCGGTTTGGAGCCAGTCAGGCAATTCGCTTTTGTGATGTGAAAATACCCATCACAACAACGGGCTGGCACAGTGGCTCAAGTGATACAGCCCTGTCTAGCAAGCGTGAGGTCCTGAGTTCAAACTCAAGTACCACCACCAAAAAAAGAAAAACCACCGAACACCCAACAAACAGAGGAGAGAGACCCTGGGTCACGGACGCTAAGGCAAATAGGTATACAGACGCATGCCATCAGAGGTGAGCTTTCAGTCTACCAACAAACCACGGGAATCAAGATGATCAGGTCCTGCCCTTGCGATCCAAGAACCTCGGCAGGTAAACAGTAAGACAACAGCGAACACCAAGTGCTGTAAAGGGGCGGACATTGGTGCGGAAAGCAAAGGTGGAAAGAATTCACGGAGACCAGAGGAGACTGGGCGCCTGCAAAGACCCAGAGGCTGAAATCAACTGGATATGTTCTCAGACCAAAAGAAAGGTGTGGTAGTGTATTCTGGAAGCCCAAGAAGTGAAACAGCATTTGAGAAAAAGGAAGTGGTCAGCTGCCTGCATCAGGCCTAACAGATCTCTGTCACATGTGGAAATCAAGCTGCCCTTTGGGCAGTGAACTGAGGGTTTGAGAAGGCAAAGTGGGGGCCTTGCAAACACTGCAGCACGATGTTCTTTTTCTATAGGGAGAGAGACTTAAGCATCTTGTGAGGATGGAATCCAAGAGAGAAGAACAGAACACGGATGAGCCAGAGAGCGGAGTACTCTGAAAAATGGGGGCCTGGCCCAGGATAATACCAGAAAGATGGCCCCTAGCACTCAGGAAAGACTAACCAAAGAAGTTGCCAGGGAAGGAGGCCTTTTTCAAGCTCACCCAGCCAGCTCACCGCAGTGACACTCTATGGCCAAGGCCCAATATGCCTTACTGGTCTTGTGCCCCTCTTCCCCCAGTGTCTATTCCTTCCCTCCCCCAAACACATAAGCTGCCCAGCATGCATCACAACTTCAGGTCTACTTTTACTACCTTGTTAAACATGAAGCTTAATAATGGTGCTCAGTGCAGCACTGTGGAATTGAAGGGTTAATAAAGAGGAGGATAATCGAGATTTTACAAAGGGAGGGGGACAGACTTGTGGATTTTGTCTGTCATCACTCAGCTTAACATCAGTTGGGTTCTGGCATAGGTGGGAGCCAGGAAAGTGAGAGAAGGGGCATGATTGGGCCTTGTGGGCTCCCAGGATACACAATAACAGTCCAGTAGCACTGCCACTCCTGGCCAGGGCCACACGATTTTCCCTTTTGCTCCCTCACTCCTTGCAGTTATCCATCCTCCACCACCTTCACTTGACTTCTTCTGTCGCCCCAGTCCTTCTAACTCCTGGGTAACAAACCTGCATTAAACTCCTGGGAGCAATCTCCCTTTCCTAATCCGTGGTCAGCCACAGGCCAGTTGGTGTGCCTATATTTTCTATATTCCAGGCACTCTGCCAGACAAGGACTCTGGCTAAGTGAGGAAATACCAGGCAAGATCCATATGCTTAAAAAGCTCATGGTCAAGCCCAGTGCTGGAGGCTCACACCTGTAATCCCAGCTACTCAGGAGGCAGATATCAGGAGGATCTTGGTTCCAAGCCAGCCAGGAAAAATAGTTCACAAGACCCTATCTCAAAAAAAAAAAAAAAAAAAAAAACCCATTCCAAAAAAGGGTTGGTGGAGTGGCTCAAGGTGTAGGCCCTGAGTTCAAGTGCCAAAAAAACCCCCAAAAAACAGGATAAGAAAACATATCTGACCAGCCCACATCAGCCTATTCCAAGGTCTTCACTGCACAGTCATGCCATATCCACCCACAGACTTCAGTGCAGGAGGATGCAAGTCCCAGACTCATTGGACCTCTACCATGTGTCAGACCCTTGTGGACACTCCCAGGATGACTGCCTACCAGCCACGGTGATGGCCCTTCTAGCTCACAGCACAAAGACCTCACACTTGGGTCTGGTCTCTATCACTGCTGGACCTCAGTTTTGTCCTGTGTAAAACATGCATTGCTTAGCTGTGTTCATAACTGAGATCTGGATATGAAACTGCCTCTCATGGCCATCTTGATGTGTTCCGTGAATGGGACAGGTGGCAGCTGTAACTAAAATGACTGCTTAGAATGGTACCTGGCACATACACACAGCAGTAGATATCAGCTGCCTGTTACTGGCAGTAACAGGCCAGAAAAAGGTGATTTTTGGTTCCTGTCTCCCAGCGCTGAATGGTCTGAGTTGGCTTAGGCTTGGAGCCCTTGGTGGCCCTGGGGATGTGTGGTGGAGCCTGCAGAGAGCTTTCTGCTGTAGATGGGAGGCTTTCTGCAGTAGGCTCAGTGTGGGTAGAAACTCAGGCTGTATAGAGGAAGGCCGGGAGAGGGGCTCCCCAACTTGTCCCTCTCTGACTCAGCTGTCTGTGGCCTTGACACTCCCTCAAATGATGAGGGAGCATAGTCGAAACAGCAGCTAACACATTTTACCCCTTTTTCCCTTCCTGCTGTCCTTAGAAGGCTGGAGCTCCTGCCTTTGTCCTTTTCCCCCTATCTAGCTTCTTTAAAGGCCTTTTATGGCCAGCCACCTGCAGAGTGGCCCACAGAGGCCCCATCTTGACTGTAGTCCTTGAAGTGGGTTTTCTCCCCAGAGAGAGGGAGCACTACACAGGACAGGGCTGATCCAACAAGATATCCTCAAAGCCAGCAGGTCCCAAGAAGTCACCCTCTTTGAGGGCACAACGCAGGTGCTGCTCTAGAACCTTCCATTCTAGAACCTTCCATTCTAGGTTCCCCAGAGCCTGTCCTCCCTGCCCAGTCCACGGCCGTGTTAACCTCCCACCTGAGCTTCCCACCCCACACTTTCAGCCCCACCCCCAGCAAGTCTTCACTCCAAGAGGGGGTGCAGGTCCCACCTGGTCCTCTGCTGCCCAGCCCCTGCCCCCTGACAAAGTTAGGCTCAGCTGTGCCCACACCCTCCAGCTGAGACTGGTGGTGAGCTGGACCGCCAAGCTCCCTTCCGTTGTGCCCTGCACCCCATGAAGAGCAGTGGCAGGCTCAAGTTGGAGCAAAGAACTTTCATGGAGCAGGTTCATGAGTGCCTGGACAATGGCTACCTGCTCTCTTCCAAGAAGATTGGCTCTGGGGCCTTCTCCAAGGTGTACCTGGCCTATGCCACACAAGAACGCATGAAACACAACCCCAAGCTGTCCTCCGACTTGCGGAACAAACACCATACTATGGTGAGGCAGGCACACCTCCCTCCCAGTGGGTATCTTGGGGTGCCCCAGCCTAATACTTGCAGGCCCCTGTCCTAAACTTTCTTAGACACCTTCCAGCTGCCCCAGCTCCCTTCATGGAAACTTCATCCCAGGTACTACTTCTCCCGTTTCCCCAGGCTCCAGCAGGCTGACCATTTCCTGTTTTCAAATAACCTTGAACACATAAATGCCCAGGACAAGAAGGAGGGGAAGGCCAGCACTGCCTTCTGAGGATACTGCTCAACTAGCCACACCCCCAAGATATTGAGCAATGTGTACAAAGGACAGCAAGCTTGTCCTGTCTCGATCCCTAAGGGGTAGAGGCCTGCAGAGTGACCACCCTCGTCTTCCCACAGGTGGCTATAAAGATCGTCTCCATGGCTAAGGCCCCGGAGGAGTTCTCTCAAAAATTTTTGCCCCGTGAGAGCTCATCACTCAATGCTACCTATAAACATGTCAATGTGGTATGCAGTGGTCTCATCCCCAAGAACAGCCCTTACCTGGTTTGACACCCACCTGAGGTCTGTCCCCCTTTCCCACCCAGAACCTCCCTTTAGCCCTTGGGCTCAGAGCCCAAGCTTATCCAAAGTATATCCGGTACACTTGCCAGTCCAGTACACCCTTGGCCTGGCCCCTCCTCAGGGTGACAGCAGTTGGGGGGGACTGGACAGGTGCAGCTGTATGAGACCTATCAGAACAGCCAGCGATCCTACCTGGTGCTGGAGTTGGCGGCTAGAGGCGACCTGCTAGAGCACATCAACACTGTGTCAGACCAGCGCTGCTGCCCAGGGTTGGAGGAGGAGGAGGCCCGAAGACTGTTCTGGCAGCTGGCAGCTGGTCAGTGCTGTGGCTCACTGCCACAATGTCGGCATTGTGCACCGGTGAGGGTGCCACCTGGCCTGCCTACCTGCCATCTGCCTGCCCCCTTGAGCCCAGGCCCAGCCTCACCTCCCCTTCCCCCACAGAGACTTGAAGTGTGAGAACATCCTGTTGGAAGACCAGGGCTTCCTAAAGTTGACAGGTGAGCCCAGGTCCCGCCCCCCCCCCCAATCCACTCCATTACTGGAGCTCAGCCTTCAAGTTCTGCCTGTCCCAGGCAGGCCCCTACCCTCAACTCTGACCCAGCCCTGACTTTCAGCTCCCCCAGGACTGCACCCGACCTTCATCTACAACATAACCTACGTGTGCCCCTTGCCCAGCCCCACCCTCAACACTCCAAGTCTCTTCACCTTCCCCCAGCCATCCCTGCAGACCAATACCTCCTAAACTCACTCCCCCTGACCCTTCCCCACACCCACTACACTGCCCTGCCCGCACGCCCTGTGCAGATTTTGGCTTTGCCAACTGCACGGGACTCAAGAACTCACTGCTGAGCACCTTCTGCCGCTCTGTGGCCTACACGGCTCCGGAGATTCTCATGAGCAAGAAGTACAATGGCAAGCAGGCCGACCTATGGAGCCTGTGAGTCCCGCCATGGGCGCCCCCTGCAGGGTCCACGGGGGCTGGGGAGGCCAGCAGCATCATCCTCCATGCCATGGTGTCTGGGAAGCTGCCCTTCAAGGAGCACCAGCCCCACCGCATGCTGCACCTGATGCGCCGTGGTCCCATCTTCAAGCCAGGCCTGTCCCCAGGTGAGCACTACCATCCCGTCCCTCCCAAGCCCCAGCGCAGGCCTGGAGAGCAGCCAGAGAGACCAGGGCCACAGGAAGGGCCATCCTGCAGTGAAGAGACTGACCTGGCATCACCCCCCAGCCCAGGTTGGACATGTTCAGCCCACACACTGCGGTGAAGAAGTTGAACTGGGGGAGGGCCTGACCAGACTGGACACCACGAAAGGCAGTAGCTCCACTGAGCTCGGGGAATAGGAATCTCCTCTCTGTGCCTCAGTCTCCCCTTTGGGGATCTGCAGATGCCCTCCAACTTTTGCATTGCTGGCGGTGGTGGGTGTGGGCCAGGGTTCTGGCTGGGGGTGGTGGCAGGCCGCAGCGGTGAGCCCTCCCTCCCAGAGTGCCGGGACCTGATCCGGGGGCTTCTTCAGTTGCACCCGCATGCACGCCTGGGCCTGCAGCAGGTGGCCGCACACCACTGGATGCTGCCTGCAGCACAGGAGCTCTTTTCTGTCCTTGGTGCTGTGCCAGGTGGGGCATGGCCCACGGTTGAGGAGTTGGGCAGCAGGTTTGTCCCCTTGCACTTCGCTTGACCCTCTCTGCGGTCCGTTGCAGAGCCGCAGGCGGGTTCCCAGGACAACACCGAGTCAGGCACAGACTCCATGTACCCATGTACACGGACTCCATGTATCCACGTACAGCAGCTGCAGAGCCTCCAGCAGTCGAAAACCCCAAAGGAGAGCACCTCAGGCCTGGCTCTCAGGCCACTGGAGGCCTGCCCCAGACAAGGAGCGAGTTCTGCTTGCCAGGCGCTCAGGAGCACCATGGCAGTCAGCCCATTAGTATGTGCCACGAGGCAGCCTCTGTCTCTGTGCTCCACGTTGACCATCAGGAACATGCCTGGGCACTACCTAGCCAATTGAGGGTGGGTGGGAGGTGGGTGTGGGCAGATAAAATGTTTATTCTAGGAGCCTATGGTGCAGCTGTCCTCATGTAGGGACAGGGCAGATGGCTTCCAGGCGCCTCCCTAGGCTGATGGAGCTCCTGGTCAGGGGAAAACACCAGTCCGCACAACATGCCTGCTCAGAGCTTTAATGGGGTGAGGGAGAGTTCACCCAATGAAGCACCTAGCCACGGAGGACGTACACATGGAGTGGTCCTCTGACTTCAGGGGTGTGGAATGCACTGCATACTCCCAGGAAGACAAGCTGGGCTCCTTCATCAGGGTATCGGGACAGTTGATAAGTGGGACCAGCAAAAAGAACTCCACACAGGTGGAGAATTGATGACAGAGGCTCAGGAAAGGAACATAAAGGGGTGAGAGCTGCTATGACACCCACAGTTGGAGGTGGGGAAGTACACATAGCACCAGGAGAAAAGCTCCTGGGCCCACAGTTTGCTCCAAGGGAGCAAACGGTGGTTGGAAGAGAGGATTAGACAGGGAGCAAGGCTGCAGGCATGTATGAGAGGTTCTCTGCAGAGATAGGCTAGGTGCCCTGCAAAGACAGTCTGGATGTCTTTCTTTCTTTGGTGGTACTACAGTTTAAACTCAGGGCTTCACACTTGCAAGGCAGGTGCTCTACCACTTGAGCCACTCCCCCTGCCCCTTTTTTGTGTTGGGTATTTTCAAGATAGGTCTCTTGAACTATTTCCCTAGGCTGGCCTTGAACCGATATCCTCCTATCTCTGTCTCCTGAGTAGCTAGAATTACAGGTGTGAGTCACCAGAACCAGTGGATGTGTTGAAAGGCATCTGAGGCTCAGGGAAGCAGAACAGGGAATAGGCCTACCTAGAAGGCTGGGTGAGAACAGTTTAACCTGGGTCTGGAAGAGCTGAGCAGGGGCAGAGGGTAGGGCCCTGGGGTTGAACAGGGAAATGGAGATCATGAAGGGGAAGCAGCACCTAGCCAGTGATCCAAGGATAGGCCTAGAAGGCAAAGTTCTTCCAAGTGTGGTCAGGTCTCTGAGGCCAGGTCTCAGGCAATACAAGTGGAGGGTTCCCAAGAGATGGGGCTGACAGCAGGGGCACTGCTGCCACCTCCAAGCCTGCCCTTGCCCAGACCCTGCAGTACTCCAGCTGGTTCCTCAGGGCTTACAGTGTTTTCTGTCCAACTCTCACCACTGTGCCTGGGTACAGGCTCCTCAAGCCTCCACTGGCCATCACCTGCCACACAGAAGCATCTGAGGCACAGGGCCTGACCAGCTCTGGCTCAATGGTGCAACTCTGAGCAACTTTCAATCTTGTTGGTAGCAACAGAGCACAGGGTTGGGAAGTACCCTAGAATTCTAAGCACAGACTAGAGCCTAAGTATAGCTCTGCTTCATAGCAGGACACAGCCTCTGAGCAACGAGATTAGAGAAGCCCGTGGGAAGCCTGGGAAAGGTGGGTCTGAAGCTGGTGGTCAGGCCAAAGGGGACTCAGGTGGGTGCAGCCCCTTCCTCCTTTGGTTCTCGGGCCAGCTCTCGCTGCTCCAATTGGTCCAGCTGTTGCAGCTTCCGCTCCACATCTTCAGGCACCTGCACCTCCAGCAGATTTTCCATGCCTCTCTCTGGCTCATCCCCAATAAGCACCTGCCAGTAGGGGAGGCAGGTGAGCAACTAGCCATTTCTGGGCACTGCCTCCCCAGTCTCTAACCCTGCACCCACCTGGATGAGCTTTTCACAAGCTGCCTGCACATCAGGCTCTGGTTCCCAACTGTGCAGCTCTCGAAGGATCAAGTAGGCTCCCTGGTCCCGCACCTGCTGCCGGCCAGGTGAGGTAGCTGTCAGCTGGGAAGATATAGAAGTTACTCAGCTGTCTGAGCACGTGTGAGTACCAGAGAGCGAGAGAGAGAGAGAGAGAGAGAGAGAGAGAGAGAGTGTGTGTGTGTGTGTGTGTGTGTGTATTAGCATAAAAGGACCCCCTGCTCACCAGCATAATGGCCTCAATGAGCATCTTTCGAATGTCAGCATCAGGCTCTCGTTGCTTGTCTGGCGGTAGGTACTGCAGGTCAACAGGCAGCCCTAAGAATGAGTATGAGAGCCGTTGGATATCTGAGCTGAGACTGGACCCAGCTCTGCCTAAGTGAGCATCACCTGTGCTCAGTAACTCCCTCGTTGAAGGCTTCAGAAGGGACCTGGGCTTGGACACTTCCTTTTCCCTCTCCCCCTGCTGGCTTCCCTCCTGCCTGGCCAATTTTGAGGCTCCATCCACTCAAGCCACTCACGGTCCATTTCTTCCTCGGAGAAATCCTCAGGCCCAGCCAAGGGCAGTAGCAAGAAAGGGAGAATGTCGACCTCAGGCCCGAGCAGCCACTCGTGGTGTCCTGAGTGTGGGAACAAGAAAGGGGTAAGGTCCATAGGGACCCTAGGGTCCAGTTCCCATCCCAGCAACTCCCAGCCCCTCCCCCACAACTCACGGTGCTCGAAGCAGCAATTCCGAAGCGTCCCTATCACCCCGCCCCTGCGCACCGAGGAGTCTGAGTATTGGGTAAGGGGCAGCAGCCGCTGGACCACGCACCTGTTGGGAAGGGCCATTCATTGTTGTTCCTGCTCACTTTCCACTCCTCCCCACCCCCTTACCCCCGCGCGCAGGCGCTTGGACTTCACCTGCCAGGGTCCAGAAGGAAAGCACGCGCCTCAGGCTGCTGACTGAGGTTGGAGAGCAGCGGCCCCAGGTAATGCAGGGGTGCGCGTGCGTTGTAGCCTGGCGTGCACAAGGCGCGTACCAGCCGCTCCAGGCCCGACTGCCCCGGCTCGGCGGCCGCCAGCGCCACCATCAGCGCGACACACGGCGCTGACTCGCGGCTAAGATTGGCCAGTGCGGCAGCCGCCTCCTCTGCCCAGGGCCACTGTGGGTCCAAGGCACGGTCAAGCAGGCGGGCAGGCAGACCAGGGTCGGCGGCTAGCAGCGGCTCGTGCAGGTTGGGGTCGGCAGTCAAGTTCACCAGCGCGCGAGTAGCGTCGCGGGCCGGGGCCGGGACCGCCGCCAGCTCAGCCAGAGCTCGCAGCAGCGCCGCGTGCCCGGCCAGCAGCGTGCGCCCGGGCCCCGCGCCGGTCAGCGCCAGCACGTGCTGCGCAGCGGCGACCTGCAGATCCGCGCGCGCGCCCGGCACCAGGAAGGGAAGCAGCTTCGCCGCGTCTGCGTCCGGACCAGCCTCCGGCCCTCCCGACACGTGCCCGCAAGAGGCATCCGCGCCCGCCTCGGTCTCCCCCATGCTGCCCAGCCACAGCAGTCACAGCGGGCCGGGCTAGCACCGCGGCCTCGCCCACCGGAAAAGCGGAAGCCGCCGCGGCCAATCCGAGGCTGAGGACTCGACTAAGGGGGCGGGACGTGCATAAGGAGGCGGGGCCAGCCGAGCGCCGCGCATTGTGGGCCTCTGAGCTCGGCCGGAAGTCGCGTAAGGGCAGGGCGGGGTCCAGGTGGCTGGCAGTCGGGTGCCCTCACCCATGCGGTTTCCTACACCGCCGCTGTCCACGCCGAGCCTGGTCCCTGACCTCCAGGGCCTCAGGGTCTCAGGGCCGGCACGCAGATGTGCACAAGGCTGGCAACACCGCAGTTGGCTTCCCGGGGTAGCCAACCTAAAGTACAGATTCAGCTCTCCGCCCCCAAGGGCTGCTTGGTTCCTGTCCACCTCCTGCTATAGAAAGGTAATAAGATTTGAGCTTCAGGTTCCCTTTCTTGTTATTGGTTTTGGGGTTTGAACTCAGAGCCTCCTGTACGCTACCGCTTGAGCCACGCCCCCAGACCCTGCAATCCTCCTACCTATCCCTCTTGTGTATACGGGATCACAGACCCATGCCATCACACCAGGCCCATTTTTTGTTGTTGTCAAGATAGGGTCTCAGTAACTTTTTGCCGGGGCTGGCCTTGAACCTCGACTCTACTGATTTACGCCTCCTGAGGGGGAAAAAATCCCTACTACATTTGTAGGGATTACAGATGTGAACCACTGTGCCCGGTATGCATGGGTAGTTTCAGAAGCTGCCCAGAGAACAAACCTAGCATGGTGCTCACATGGTTGTAATGGTTTTGTGCTGTTTGCAAAAGTAGGATGTAGCAGGCATTGGTGCCAAACCCACTATGATGACTGTAATCAAATAAGACAATTAAGCAATGTTTGATGAGGATATAGAAAAATTGGACCCCTCATCCTCTGCTAGTAGGACTGTAAAACGGTGTGGACGTCGTGGAAAACAATTTGCTGGTTCCTCAAAAATTTAAACACTATACAACCTAACCATTTCACTCGTAGGTACACACCCGAGAGAAATGAAAACTGAACATATCCATACAGAAACATAAATGTGTACAAGTAGCATCATTCGTAATAGCAAAAAAGTAGAAATAACGCAAATGTCCAACTGATGAACGGATAAACTAAGGTTAACCTGTACAAAGGGATATTACTCAGCTATAGAAAGGAATGAAGTACTGACGCCTGTTACTACCTGAATAAACCTCCAAAGTACACTAAATGAATGAAGCAAGTCACAAAACACCACATAGTAAATGAGTTCATGTATAAGACATTTCCAGAGTAGACAAGTTCATGAAGACAGAAGGTAAATTAGTAGTTGTCCATTGCCAGAGAAGGGTAGTATTGGGGAGTAAGAGTGACTGGTAATAGGTGTTGTAGACTGAAGTATATCCATCTCCCAAATTTGTATGTTGAAGCCCTAACCCCCATGGCGGCTGTATTTGGAGAGAGGGACTATAAGGAAGTAATTAAGGTTAAATGAGGCCATAAAGGTGAGGGCCTTTTGTATACCAGGATTAGTGTCTGTAAGAAGGGATGCCTGGGAGGTTACTGGCTCTTTCCTCCATGTGAGGACCTAGGGGATAACCCTTACTAGAGACCAAACCAGCTAGTACCGGGATGCTAGATTTCTCAGCCTCCAGAACTGTGAGAAAATAAATTTTTGTTGCTTAATCACTCAGTCTATGGTATTTTGTTGTTATAGCCTGAGCAGGATAAGACAGTGAGCACAGTGAGCATTTTCAGATGTTGAAAATGATCTCAGATTGTATTGTGGTAGTTGCACAATTGTGAATTGCTAAAAATAATCACACACCTTGTTTCTTTCGTGTGTGTTATTTACTCATTTATTTTGGTTTTTTGAAATAGTGTCATGCTATGTAGCCCAGGCTAACCTCAAACTTACAACCCTGCCTCAGCCTCTGGAGTGCTGGGATTAACAGGCATGTAACAGGCATGTAACACCATGCCCAGTAGCTGTACACTTTAAATGGGTGAATTCTATGATACTTAAATTCTTAAAAACAGGACACCCATGTAAAATTTGGAAAAAGCTTACACTAAAAAGTATTTGTTGTTTATCTGAAGTTCAAATTTAACTGGGCATCATATAATTTTTTCTGACAATCTTGTTTTGCAGTCTGTTGGCCTTCTGAAACTCACTCATGAGCCCACAGACAGCTGTTTATGAAACAGAACTGGTGCCGGTGACTCAGGCCTGTCATCCTAGCTACACAGGAGGCAGAGATCAGGAGGATCACAGTTTGAAGCCAGCCCAGGCAAATAGGTTTCGAGACCCTATATCAAAAAAACCCTTCACAGAAAAAGACTGGCGGAGTAGCTCAAAGTGTAGGCCCTGAGTTCAAGCCCCAGTACTGCAGAAAAAGACCTTCCCAACTATTGAGGAACCCATGCTGCTACTCACATTGGTCAACCAATGTCACTAATGACAGCAAAAAAAAAAAATCACTAGACATTATAAACCAAAGGCATATACTTATTCCCAGAGGAAACAATACATGAAACAGAAAATAACCTTTTTGTGTGTGTGTGGTACTGTGGTTTGAACTCGGCCTTCACCTTGAGCCACTCCACCAGCCTTATTTTTGTGAAGGGTTTTTCGAAGTAGGGGCTCTTGAACTATTTGCTGGGGCTGGCTTCAAACTGTGATCCTCCTGACCTCTGCCTCCTGTGTAGCTAGGATGACAGGCGTGAGCCACCGGTGCCCAGCTCATGACTTTGTCTTTTGACCCTCCACTAGTTTGCATGTTTATCCATGAACAAACACGTTCTGTCTTTAATCTAGTCATGTCTGGTAGAAGTCCCACCTGTGTTTCCTCCTCAACAGTCCTGGCTAGTCTCTAGTCTGTGTCTTACAAATATTTCAGAGTGTTCATGTCAGCTTTGCACAGACACACATTCAAAACTTCTCGAATGTTGGTTCAGATTTCATTGCCTATAGGCCAATATGGGGGAAATTAGCACTGGTAAACTAGTGAGTTTTACAAGCCGCATTATAGGTCATCTTTAACGATTGCATATCTTTAAGTAGGGTCATTCCTGGACAATATTTATGATATTGTTATAATGTAGGGACTTTTAGTTTTTTGGTTTTTTTTTGAGACAGGATCTCACATGTAGCTCAGACTGACTCTGAACTCAGTATGTAGCCTAGACTGGCCTCAAGCTCACAATCTTCCTGCCTCAGTCTCCCCAGTGCTGGGACTACAGGTGTGTACCACCACACCTGGCCATAAATATGTTGAATTTTTTTTTCATTTTCTGAGCCTGGCATGGGTATAATCTGAGCTACTCAGAAGGCCATGCCGTGAGGGTTGCTTAAGCCTAGGAGTTCAAAGCCAGTCTGGGCAACATAGAGAGCCCCCCATCTCAAATACAAAATTTCATTTTCTAATTGTTGCTGGTATACAACAATGTCGATGAGTTTTGCATATTAAGACTACTTTGAGAGCTGGTGGAATGGCTCAAGTATTAGATCGCCTGCCTAGCAATCACAAGGCCTTGAGTTCAAACCCCAGTACCATTGAAAAAAAAGATTGTACTTTGAGGGACTGTGGGTGTGGTTCAAGTGGCAGAGTAGTTGACTAGCAAGCTCAAGGCTCTGGGTTCAATCCCCAGTATCGCAAAAAAACGAAACTTTAAAAAAGATTGTACTTTGCAACCTCTTAAATTTTCTTAATAGTTCCTATAGTTGGCATTTGGATCTTTTCTCTAGTTTTATTAAGGTATAATTACCATACAGTGAAATGCAGAGTTTGTTGGGTTTTGGCATGGGTATATGAATACACCCATGAAATTGTCACAGTCCCAAAAGGCTCCTCGTGACCTTTTGTTATCCCCTCCTTCCCTTCCCTTCCCATCCCATAGCAACCACCCATCTGCAGCCTCACTATAGTTTTCTACACTCTGTATAAATAAATGGAATTGCAAAATGAGTACTCTTGTTTCTGACTTCACTCAGAATGACTAAATTTTATCCATATTGTTACATAATAGTGCTTTTTAAATATATATTTTGGTGTTTTTTTTTTTTTTGAGATAGGGTCTCACTATGTAGCTCAGGCAGCCCTTAAACTCCCAATCCTTTTGCCTCAGCCTCCAGAGCACTGGGATTGCAGACATGGGCAACCATACCCAGCTCAATAGTCTTTTTCTTTCAAGTGGTACTGGGATTTGAACTCAGGGCCTTTTGCTAGTAGGCAGGTGCTCTCCCACCTGAGCCATGCTCCCAGCATTTTTTGAGTTTTGCTTTAGTCACTTTTTTGAGATAGGAGCTCACATTTTTCCCAGGGCCAGCCTGGACCAAGATCCTCCTATTTCTTTATTTGTTTAGGTGAAACTGGGGTTTGAACTCAGGGCTTTACACTTGCAAAGCAGGTGCTCTACCACTTGAGTCATACCTCCAGTCCAAGATCCTCCCATTATGCATTACACCTCCTGTATAGTGTGATGGCAGGCAAATGCTACCACACTCAGCTTATTGGTTGAGATGGAGTCATACTAACTTTTTGCCTGTGCTGGCCTTGAACCTTGATCCTCCCGATCTCTGCCTCCCAAGTAGCTGGATCACAGGTGTGAACCACCACATCCCGCCTCAATATGCTTTTAATTGCTGAATGATTTTCTACCGTATGGATAGATCCTAATTTACCACCTGTTGATGTTTGTAGTTTTTGCTGCTATGCGTAAAGCAGCTGCGAGCTTTCAGGTCACGTCTTCATGTAGAATGTGCTTTCATTTCCCCTGGGAGAATACCTGCAAGGTGCGCAGCTGGACAGTGGGCCAGTACAGCTGGATCGTGTGGTAGATATAGCTTTACCCTGCCTGCTCCCGTTTCCAGTTTGTTGCCTGTCAGCTCAGAGCCCAACTTTCAGACCTTGGCCTTCTCCAAGGTAATGGAGGGGACCCCCCCCACATACCCGCAGCAGACTCTGCCAGCTGGTTAACATCAGGCTTTGTCAGTAGGGGGCGCTAAAAGGACGTATTCTTGGGACTCCAGTTTGCCATTATGGGCTCACCAACCCAAGTGGGGACCTCTGGCAGTCATCTGATAGTGGGGGTTTAGCTCATGTCTAACATACAACAAGCCCTCTCTAAGGTTGTTTTCTCTAGGTCCGGGAGCGATGGATAACTGCTCTCTGACTCATGGTGCCAGGCCCACTGTGCAATAGCAGATCCCTGGCAATAGCAGTCAGAAGCTCCCAAGAAATTTTTTTTTTTTTTTTTTTTTTGGGATAGTGGTGGTGTTTAAACTCAGGGCCTCACACTTGCTAGATAGGCACTGTACCATCTGAGCCACACTGCAAGCCCTTTTTTTGTGATGGGTTTTTCCGAGATAGGGCCGCTCACACTATTTTCCTCGGGCTGACCTGGAACCACTAGTTTTTGCATGTATTTTATTTTTTTGAGACAGGATCTCACTGTATGCCACAGACTGGACTCGAACTCTCAGTCCTCCTGCCTCAGGTCCCAAGCGCTGGGGTAAGCTTCCACACTGACTTTTTTTTTTCCTCTCTAAATTATTACCATGATGGTTGCCAAATGGTGATTTTCTAATTCCATCATTTGTTTACTTATTTCTATCACTTTTTGAGATATTTAACTAACTTTGCCTGAGCTGGCTTCAAACTAGTGATCCTCCCTTCCTCCACCTCCCAAGCAGCTGGAATGACAGACATTCATCACCACACCCAGCGGAACATCAGTATTCTTGTCCGTGGGCCCCAGTGTACCTGGGCACACGTTTCTTGCGTTTATCCTCAGGAATGGAATCACTGCTTGCAGGGATTACATGTGTTCAACTTTCTGGGAAGCACCCAGTTGTTTCTCAGACCAGTTACAAGCGTGCACGCCAACCTTCAGGCCTTCGCTTCCCCAAATCCTTACATTTTGCTACTCTCAGATTTCATATTTTTAGCCAACCTGATAGGGAGTGGTGGTATATCACAGAGAGTTTCTGGTTTTGCTTGTTTAATCTGGTGCTGGGGATGGAACCCACAGTCTCATGCATGCTGAACACAAGTCCAACCACCGAGCTGCAGCTGAGCCCTCATAATGACTTCATCTTTTTCCGATTACTAATGAAGCTGACCTAACTTTTCATATATCCTATCTTGACTTCATCTTTTGTGAAATTCCCATTCCAGCTTTTTGGGGTATGTGAATTTTTTTTTTCTTTTTTGTGGTACTGGGGTTTGAATTCAGGGCCTCACCACGCTTTTGAGGCAGACACTCTACTACTCGAGTTATTCCACCAGCCCTTTTTTGTGTTGGTTATTATTGAGATAGGGTCTCACAAGCCCTTGACTAGAGGGTGATTTTTTTTTTTTTTTGTGAGACTGTGGTTTGAACTCAGGGCTTCACACTTGCAGAGCAGGCACTCTACTGCTTGAGCAATACCTCCAGCCCAGAGTTACATGAGTTTTTAAAATTGACTTGTAGGAATTCTTGGTAGATTCTGGAGATAAGATGTTTTTAGTTACATGTATTACAGGTCTCTTCCATCTGCTGCCTGCCTGTTTCCTGTCTTTATGGCATAGAGGTATACATTTAATTAAAATAATTTCATATTAATACTAATAAATATAATAAATATATGTAATATATATTTATATAAATATATATAAATATATATATTTATACTAATAAATATATGTATGACTAGTGGTGTCTTTAAATATGCTTAAAATTTCCCCATTTTCCCTTCCATCTAAAAATCATTTCTTACCAGCCACCCATAGCTCATGCCTATAATCCTAGATACTTGGGAGGCTGAGATCTGGAATATCAAGATTTGAGGCCAGCCCACACAGTTCATGAGACCCTATCTACAAAATAACCAGAGCAAAATGGGTCAGAGTTATGCCTCAAGCAGTAGAGCATCTGCTTTGCAAGAGCGAAGCTCTGAGTTCAAAATCCTAGTCCCATCAAAAAAATAATCTCTTTGTCATTTAAAACGTGAACACCAGGGCTGGGATATAATTCAGTGGCAGAGTGATTTTGTAGCATGGGTGACACCCTGAGTTCCAACAGAGTTCTTGTTTTAGCTTGCACAACTCCATATACATAGTGGAGACTTCCAGGTCTCCAGGCCTGGCACCTGTGGCTGCTGAGCTCAGTCCTGTAGGAGCCCTGCAAGCTTAAGGACCATGGGAAAGGATGGAATACTAGTTCTCTCAAGCCACAGAAGAAACGTCTACAGCTGGAGGCAGAAAGTTTACAGGATAGAAATCTTGCTTAGACAACCCAATAGAAGGATGCAAAAATCTAGAACTTCGCAAAAGCAGTGCATATGGCATATGTCCTGCCAGGCAGGACAGCTCAGAAGGAAGCAAGCCCCTTTGAAGACTCCATACCCCAGACAACATCAGTCTCCCACGGACTTTAAGGTTGGATAAAAAGGATAAAAGCACCTGCGTCTACTCCACAATAAAGGCAAAGCTCTTCCCTCCCCCTCCATACACACCCATGGCTCCCCTTCATACCTGGCCACTTGCTGGCCCAAGGAACCATCTCTGCCATCTTAACAGTGGCAATAAACCCAAACTGTGGGTCTCCTGTCCACTTAGCCCCTCTCCCCTCCAAGGGTTGCTCCTCCATCGGTGCTGACTACATCCCTGATGCTGTCCCACACCAGATGCCTGCGCCCCAATTTCTGCCTATCACTAACCAGCAGCTATCGGGGTTTCTGACTTCCATCCCGACCTCCCCGCCCATCCCAGAGCCCTGGAAGGATGGACATGTCAGCCGGTGTGCTGTCCAAACCTCTGGATTTTATTCCAGATGCGCCCGCGCAGGATGAGGCCAAGAGTAGAGGTGGGGACCCCGGCGCCGCCCGCCGGCTCAGCGGTACGTGTCTGGGTCCGCGTCTTCAGGCAGGAAGTAGCGCTGCAGGGCGGGCTGCAGGAGCCGGGGCGGCAGCGCTCGGGCGGGCGCCGGCCAGCCCGGGGGAAAGGGCTGCAGCTCCACCCTGGGCAAGGGCAGCTTCAGCACCTGGATTGAGCAGTCGAGATTCCGGGTGCGGCCGGTGCCGATGCGGGACAGCCGGTGGCCTGGTGGGAACGGGTAGTGAGGCTAAGGGCGAGGCTGGGGTGGGGGCGGGAGATTGGGGATCCAACCTGTACTCCTGTGCCCACTCACCCCTCATCCAAGAGCGCGGAGCCCTGGACTCCTGCAGCCGGAGGATAGGGTAGAGCCTGGGGAAAGGAAGCGAGTTCAGCCAGGCCGCTCACCGCCGCCCGCGCAGAACCTTCCCCCCGACCCTCCCCGCCTCCCCCGGGTGCCCCGCGCACCAGCGATCCCTGGGCGGTCGCACCACGGTGTTGGGCACCTGCCCGCGCGGGAGTGGGGACGCGGGCGGCGGCGAGCAAGGCCCGGCCTCCTCCTGCATCGAGCTCTGCTGGTCCGCCCGCTCGCAGAACAAATTGAGCGCGTCGACGGGGCGCAGGTCTACAATCTGCGACTGCGACCACTCGGTCTTCTCGAGCGGCACTGTCTCGCTACGCAGCGTGGCCGGCAAGAAGGCATCCGACACCGAGCAGAAGCGCTGCAGCGTCTCGGACAGCGGTTCCTTGGTCCGCCTGGTGTGCAACTGCGCCAGCGTGCGCCGGACCTGGAGCTCGTAGCCCAGTGTCTCCGACTCCGAAGGCGACACCACCAGTAAAGGCACTTCCGAGTCGCGCCAGAACGCCTCCGAGGGGCGCGGGGTCGTCCAAGGGATACTCAAGCGCGCCCCCGAGACCAAGGAAGCCCGCGACATGGCCTCCCTGGGAGACAACAGTGCCGAGGTCTGGGAAGCCGTGGGCAAGGACAACCTGGGTGCAGGTAGCTGCAAGGTCTCCATCTGTCAAAGAAGGACCTTGTTCCTTGGCCGCTGAACTCCGTCTGCCAAGCTCCAGTTCCAGCCCCAGCCCCAACAAGAAGTTGTGTCCCTCCCCTGACTAGCGCTCCAAGCTTCCAAACCCCCTGCAGCCTTCAGCCTACCCGGGAGATGTAGAGAGATGATGGGGTTGGGGAATCACGGGGGCAGAGAGCATGAGCAGGTTTTTTGGGGTCCCACCTGGCTTCCCCTACCAGGGACCTCTGGAAGACCTCTGGAGAAGGGCAGAGATTCCCCATAATGGACCACCACATCCCTGGCTCCCAGACCTGCAGCTGCTGGATCATGTCCTCCAGCTTCTGGCAGCAACGTGTGCGCACCACGGCCTTGGAGTTGAGGTCTGGGCCCTGGACCCAGGTCAGCATCTCCTTGGACAGGAAGTCCTGCAGGTCTTGGAGGCCCAGCCCATCCAGCAGTTTCTTGATCTCTGGTCTGGAACAGGTTCCTGTCGATTAACCCAGGCCTTTCCTGCTGGTGGGAAAGGCCCACCATGAGCAAGACTCACCGGTAGGTGTCTGGAGAGTAGAGGAAGTAGGACATGAGCTCCAGCACCACATCCCGGGACTCTAGGGAGCAGGCCAGGAGCAGCTGCAGCGCCAGAATCACAAACTGCTTCTGTATCTCATCCTGAGCACAGGTGGGGAGACAGTGGTTGGTGTGGGAAGTGGAAGGGGAGGCAAGGGGTATCCAGGGGCTCACCTGGAAGGTAGGGGGCTGCTCCAGGTTGAGCAAGTGCAAGATGCTGCCTTGCAGCCGGCTGTGGAGTTCACGGCTCACATCAGGCACCAACCTCAGTAATGCATGCAGGATATGCACACGGTCTGCCCAGGTAGTCTCTGCCAGGATGTCCACCAACCTCGAGGCCAGGCCTTCCACTGTGCCCATCTCTGGGGAGGCCTGTAGGACGGTGTACTGAGACCCTCCTGTCTTCTTCCCTTTCCCCCACCCCAGCCCGGGTTTCTCAGCTTCCCAGAGTCCCCCAAACCTCCAGGGTGAAGAGGGGGAAAAGCTTTTTGAACCAGTTCTGGACAATGAAAAAATGCAGGAACTCTGGCAGATGCCCATAGCGCTCTTCCAAGGGTGAGTGCTTGTAGCGGAACAGGGAGCCGAAGTAGGTCGGGATCTTGGCAATCTTCTGGAAGCTCCATTGCCCTGTGCCTGCATCCATGGAACCCTAGGAAAAGCAACAGCAGCTTCCAGCCCACTCCTCTGGGTTGGAGACACCAATCCTACCCTTTCCATACATACAGCCTGGGGTGCATACCTGAGCCTCTTGCTCTGAGTAATCTTGCTGCTGGTCAGAGTACAGGGAAGATGAGGACCAGACAAACTCCAGCTCCTGTTCCTCCTCCTCCTCTTCCTCCTCGTCCTCTTCAGACTGCCCACGAAGCCACTGAGTCAGCCTCCTTTGCCACCTGGAGGTAGACCGCCTGTGACGCCGCAGCCACTCGCTATCCTCGCTACCTGACTGTAGAGGGGATAGTTCAAGAGGGGGCACCTCGCAGAGACGTAGGGATAGCGGAGCCCCCCCCCAGCACCCCCAGCTCTGCCTCTTGCCTTGAGTATGTCCCAGGAGTCAAGATGGGCCAGGGACCCGAGGCCGGCGACTTCTTGATGCAGCCACATCCGCTGCAGTACCATGGAGTTGGGCACATAGCCAGGGAAGCTGATGGGCCGTGGGTAGTACTGAAGATAGATCACACCAGGATAGACTGAGAAATTGAAGCTCCCCCAAATCGGACACCACACTGGGCACCCTCAGGACCACCAGGGCTGCTTAGCCATGGGCCCTGCTCTGCCTGCCAGGCCTCCAAGAACCAGACTGGACTGACAGCTTCCACTCTCAACACACAGATGGGCAGTGTAAGCCTGCAAAACCAGGTACAGGGGTGGTCCAGGGCCATGGACTGGAAATGAGGATGGAAATCTGGGGATAACTGGTCTCTAGAGAGCCCTGAGCCCACATTCTCTCCAGGGGACTCAGCCCAAGCCCTGCAACAGGGAAGTGTGTAAGAAGCATTGTACAGTTGGGCAGGGGAAGAAGTAACTTGGAGAAATGTCAGTGGAGAGCTTGAGTAGATGGGGCTACCCAAGCTGGAAGGGCCAATGACCCACCTAGGTAGGAGCCTTGCACCTGCTGAACAAGGGTCTGGGGCCTGCCTGGCCATCCAGTGTGGCTGGGTGTGGGGAAGTGTAGATCTTGAGGGGATGGTTTCCCTTGACTTTGCTCCTGTGAAGGGCAGGGACTCTGATCTTCCAGGAAAAGTCCATAGGGGACTCACCCACAAATACCCCCGCTGGGGAGAGGGGTGTGCAGGCACAAACAGCAGTGTGGGACCCTAGCTTAGGCCTAGGTCTGGGAAGCAATAAAAAGCCCATGTCCTCAGCCACAGCCACACTGGAACTAGGCAGGGGGCTCTGGAGCCTGACCCTCTGGACTGCAGGTGGGTATGGCCTTTGGGTCACATTTGTATACAAAGGCTTACAGTAAAGGGAGATGGGGTGTGCAAGAGGCACCCTGGAGAGGGGTGCCTCTGGGGAAAGCCAGGGGAGGAGGGTCTCACCTTGTAGGGTTTTGTGGTGGCAGGAAAAAAGCCACTGAGGTTCAAGAGAGGTTCCTTGGGCTCTCTCTTTAGCAATAGTGGGACCTGGGGAAAGGGACATAGACTCAGAGCAGAACACAGTACCCAGAGCCCCTGAAACTCTGCCTTTGGGTAGGCGATGCCCCACCTGCCTGAATCCCTCACCTTTTTCTGTTTGAAGGAGGATGGTGTGTCCAAGACCACAGCCATCTTCCCTTGGAGCTGCCCTGACTGAAGCTGCAGATCTAGACTGAGGCCCAGGTCACAGCTCAGGGAAGAACAGGCTAGAAGCTGAGGTATTCATGGGGTTATGGGGGCTGAGAGCTGGGGCCATGATGTCAGGAAGGGTGTGGGAGGGGAGGGAAGCCTCACCTGGGATGCCTTGCTGTGCATGTCCCGGTGGATGGGTGGAATGGGCAAGGCAACTCGGGGAGGGTAGGCAAATTGCTGACCTGGAGTCCCCAGGGCCTGGAGGAGAGGGGCCATAGACGTCTGAGCTTCAGTGCTGACTATAGCCTCCCTAAAGCCGGAGGCAGCACTGGGCAGGGTGCACGTGTCCTGGAGCTCTTTCTCCTTGGTGAGGGTCAAGGTGCTCCCCTGCTGGGAATCCATTCTGGACTGTATATCCTAGGGCAAACAAGAACAGATTGTTCAATCAGGCCTGGGGTAAGTGGAGGGGCCAGGGTCAGAGCAAGGGCTGGCCCTACACCCACCAGCAGGCCACAGCCATAGATTAGACGTAGGTAATTGTCAAAAGCTTCCTGGCGCTGCTTCCAGGAGGGTAGGGGCCGGGCCACTGGGACCACCAGCCCTTGCGTTAACTGCTGAAGATCTTGGTCCCGGGCCTCCAGTGCTTCTAAGTCCTAAAATGGAGGTCAGATGTTGACCTATGCTTTCTTGAGATTTGCCAGGTGTGCCCAGCAACCATGGGGATCCCAGGGACTGAGGGACTGAGGCCTGAGGCTGGGCATGGGTCAAGGCTGGGCTTTGGGACGGGCAAGGGGTCAGGACCCACCCCACCTCCTCCAACAGTGGCTGCTGAAGTGTTGGTGTCTGGCGATGGGTGAAGGGCAAGGCCACACTGCAGACAGGGACAGACACAGGTGAGGTGCTAGATGGCATTACCAATGGGATGGGGCAGAAGCTGGGACAAGGACCAGCCTGGAGAGGGGGTGCCAGGGCTGATATGGGCTTGTCGCAGTCCCTGCAGGGCCCAGGAGTCCTGAGTCCTCATGCTGGAGGCATCGCTGGCCCTGCCCCCGGGGGTGGGAGCCTCCAGGACAGCTGAGCGGGCTGGCCAGCAGACCTGAGGCTGTCTGCCCCATGCAGGTTGGTGAGCTTCTGCAGCTGGGAGGACGTCAGTGACTCATGGTTGCTTAGTGGCAGCGGAGGGTCATCCACCACATCAGGGGCCTTCCGACACAGTTTCTGAGAAGGCAAAAAGAGCTTCCATCCCTGGTCTAGAGAGCCCACCTGTGTGCAGCTGCCTCACCTTGCCCATTCTGTGTCCTTGGTGCATACCTTAACCAGATAGGCTGTGGGCAGGTAATGCCTATGAGACACCAGGCAGAGGCGGGAGCCCAGTGCCAGCACCAGATCTCCACCATTGCTGCAGAAGGCCAGAGCTTGAGGGGCACCATTCAGCTGCAGGAGCCTGCAGGGGTGCCCAGCCTCTACTTCAGAGTGGGAAACTGAAGCAGCAGCAGCCCTGTCCCCCCCAGTCCAGCCATTAGGCTCTGGTGGGAGGCAGAGGTTAGGAGAGCCCAGCCGGCTGCCCGCCAACTCCCTAGAACTTTTCCCCAGGGCCCCTGCCCACCGCAGTAGGCGATTGTCCAAGGTCCAGATTCGAATGGTGCAGTCAAGGCTGGAGCTGGCATACAGCTTGAGTGTGGGGCAGCAGCACAGGCCTGGGGCAGTACTCAGGGTTAGGCACCAGACCAGTACAGGGGCCCAGTCTTCACCTTTGCTCTGCCCGCTCACCAGTGATGTGGTCCTTGGGATCATCCTGGGGCCGGTGGTCAAAGCGATGTCTGTCACCCAGGCCAAACTGCACCAAGCCATAGGTGGCACTCTCCGGGTCCTCAAAGCCTACAGTGATGCGTTTGCCCAGAGCACAGAGCATCACGACAGGGTGGCAACAGGAGAAGGTCCGCAGCAGGCTCAGGCTCTCCTCAGCGTAGGGGAAGACCCGCCACATCTTCACTGTCAGGTCTCCTCCTGAGGGTGGTGGGATGGGAGCCAAGGCGGGACCTTCAGGAAGGGGCGGGGCTCCCAGGACCGCTCAGGAAGAGAGGACGTACTGACCCGAAGACACGACGCTGTTCCGGGTGGATGCAATGGCGGTGACCGGTCCTGGGCTGTGCGCTTCCGTGTGAAAGATGGTATTCGATGAGCGCCAATCGAGCACTGACAGCGCGCCGTCGGTGTGCCCTACCACCGGCAGGTACCTGTGGGCAGCGATAGAAACTATTAACAGGGGCTCTGTCGCCGCGTCCGCCTCGTCTGGCCTTCACTAACTCCATCGCCCCACCTATTCTTGTTCTTCCAGGACCAGGCGACGCCGCTGCGACGCAGGTCGCCCCCGTGCTGACGCACGATCTCCCAGCAGTGGAACGCCATAACTGGGTCTATGAGGTGGCAATAGAGGTGCAGGCTGCAGGGTTGAGGCGCTGGGGGCGGTGGCGGGCACACACGGTGCAGTACGACCATGGGGCAGCGCGCCGCGTTGGCGCGCACCAGGTGCCCTGCGCGGGTTAGCACCCACAGCGCCTCGCGCGGCAGGCAGTAGGCCACTGCGGCCGCGCAGTCCTCGGGCTCCAGCAGTAGCGCACTCACCGTGCGCCCCGTCGCAGCTGACACCAGGTAGACCGACCCATCGGCGCACGCGCAAACGAGGCGCGCGGGCAGAGAAGGTTCTGCCGGCGCCGGCAGCACCGGCGCCACCTGTAAGTGCAGCACTGGGGCGGGCAGCTGTGACAACGGCGAGTAGAGGTCGCGCACACGCCACAGCTCCACGCTGCTGGAACACAGTGAGAGCACTGGCCAGCCTGGGCCTGCTGGCGCCAGCAAGCGGTTCACGCGTTCGGACAGCGCATCCTGGCACCAGTAGCCCAAAGCCACCTCGCCCACCTGCTCGGCCGACTGCAAGTCCCATGTTCGAAGCGTCCCGTCCTGTGAGGCGGACACCACCAGGATGGTGTTCGGGAGCACCGTCATAGCTGTGACCGGGCCTGTAGGAAAGGCTCAGGTCACTCTGATACACCACAACTCAGAGAGGGCAAGTCGTCGGCCCGGGATGGAGCCCACGCAGAAAAGCCGGACCAAAGTTCTTTAAGGGAGAGGGCGGGGCTCGGGGTGGAGAGAAGGTGCTGCAAGAGCCGCCAGGGCACCGCACACCTGTGTGGCCCACGAACACCATCCGGATCTGCCAGTCAGCCTCCCACACCTTCACTGTACTGTCCTGAGAAGCTGTCACCATGGCTTCCACCTCCTTGCAGCATGCCAGGTCCGAGATGGTGCTGGGAGCGGGGGGAATGAGGAGGCCCGTGAACTCAACACGGCTGTCCGTATGTGTGTGTGTGTCCGGTGCCCCGCTGTGACTGGCTATCTTTAGGGGGGGGACCTGCCTCACATCCCTCTGTCCCCTGGCTCCCCTCACGTTTTGTGCAGATCCTGGTGCACTTCTACAAGAGCCCAGTTATCCAGGTCAAAGGTGAGCACCGCAGAACCGTAGGCCGCAAAGCAGTGCCTGAGGTGGCGGGCAGACATGGGCCCCAGAGCCAGACGCTGGAGTGCGCCCGCCAGACCTGGCGGCGGCTGCAGAGGTAACCCGTATGGCACCAGGCGGCGACCACCTGAGCGGAACTTCCAGAGTGCCAGGCTGCCGCTCACCTCGGCCATGAGCAGCAGCCCCAGGTTGGGCACTGGCAGGCAGGTAGTGGGCTCCTGGCCCAGCGCCCTGCCCACCCATGGCTGGCTCAGCCACAGCAAGCTGAGGTCCTGCCGTAGTATGGCCAATCCAGCAGGGCCCCAGCCTACAAAACGGCCCACTGCCCCCAGAGGGTCTGGCACAGCCACCAACCCTGTAAGAGCCGCGGGGGCCTGCAACTTCCTCTGCACCCAGCCGTCCTTTGTATGCTGGTGCAGGCGACCTGTGCCATCCAGCACCACGAAGCGTCCGCCCACTGCATCCTGCGCCACGGAGCACAGGCCGCCTTCCACCTCCAGGCGGCGCAATGGCTCCAGCCCGTGCGTCAAGCGAGCCACGCGCAGCTCTGCTCTTTTCTCCTGCGGGCCGGAATGGGCAGACCCACAGTTGAGAGGTGGGGGTGAGGGCGCTTCCAACTAGGAAAATTCAAGAGGTCCCGGGATCTCTTAAGGGAAGGGCGTCCTGGCCAACGCCGGGGCAAGCCGCACCTTTTCCACGATGTCGTGGAGGTGGGTGCGTAGGACCAGCCACAGGCGGCGGGCGCGAGTTCGCAGGGGCAGGGTCTGCCATCGCTCGTTGCCGGTAAAGAACTGCAGGCCCTGCAGCCGCTCCACGGAACACAACTCTGCGGGCAGGCAGAGGAAGCGTGGTCACCTGCGGCCTGGGGCCCAACTGTGGAGGTCGTGGGTAGGGAAGACGCCCTTCTCCGAATGCCGGTCTGGGTCAGTGGCTGCCCGGAGCAGTTGTGCTCCCAGGACAAAACCCAGACTGAGTGAGGCTCGGTCCCTAGAGGGGCGCCTGAGTGAGTACAAGTCCCCTCACCATCCTTTTCTGAAAGCAACCCAGGGTCTGGGACATCGTAAGTGTCCACATCATACAGGTCAGAGTCCAGCACCAGACTGTCACTGTCTGGTGAAGAAGCGTTGCTTGTATCCAACACTCCAGTCTCCATTTTGATGGCTGCAGGTCCAGGAGCCCAACAGCTGTTGGGTCCTAGTGGTCTCGAGACACTGGCACCAGACGCCGCAGGCCCCGCCCCCGCCGCAGGCCCCGCCCCCAGCCGCACCCAGGTTGACAACCAAGTCACAGAAACTTTTATTGGAAACAAATCAGCTGCAGCAAAGTGACACTCAGTGCACGTGACCCACCAGGTGAGGTGGGAGGACAGGTGGGCACCAGGGACCGGCCCAAGACTGGAGCCGGTGAACACTGGGGCCTGCTTTCAGGGACTCAGGCCACTGGCCCTTGGAGCTGGAGTGTATGGGCCCAGTAGGAAATACAAAAATAAACTCTGTGGTCCAGCTGTCCCCACCTCTGGCAGTCTGTTGGGCAGGGCAGTCACTATTTCCACCAGGCCCTGTGCTGTCTAGTCCAGGCACAGCATGGGCAGTAGTAGGAGCCTGTAAGGGCAAGTGGACATCCACAGGCTGGAGCCAAAGGGCTAGGCAGGTGTGGCTGTGGGCAGTGCCAGGACTGTGGCAGTGCCAGGGTATGGCCAGCAGCTGGGGAGGCCCCGGGGTTCCTCACATGGGCCAGTCCAGGCATTGGTTGAAGCTGGATGAAGCTGGGGCCTCTGCTCTTCCTTTCACATGCAGATCACCGGGACCCTGGGCAGAGGTTAGCACACAGCAGGCCTTAAGGAGCCACGACCTGGGAGACCAGGCAGAGGGGGCTCTGACCTGCCCTACCCACTGCAAGCTCCAGGGTCTGGAGCCATCACTATGGAACTCACCTGTCCTCTTCCATAGTGCTGGTCTCCTCTGCCCCACCGTCACTGCCTCCACCTCCACTCTCTTCCTCAACTTCTTCCTCTCCCAGTTCTATGTCCAGTGTGTTGCCTGCTTCTGAGGGTGTGTAGGTGGAACCACTGGGTGGGGGTTGGAGAAACCAGTCTTAGGACCACCTACCCCAGGCCTGCTAATGGTGCAGGACAAGGCTGGGAGCAGATAGACACAGCTGAGGAATGGGTGTGGAACCCATAGGGAATTGGGAATGGGAGGAAGGGGGTACAAACCTGATAGAGCGGCAGCTGAAGAACACAATTCGCTTGAGCCGCTTGTTGTAGAAGAAGTAGTTAAAAGACCAGAGGCTGCCATCCTCCCCAAAGGGGTCAGAGTCCAGGTCTGGATTGTAGCTGGGAAGTGCAGAGAGAAGTAACATGAGGTTCCCAGTGCCACACACACCTTGGGGACCCACCTGCACAGACACCAAGCCACCTGTAGATGTCACATTCAGCCAGGCAGATCTCCTCATCCACTGCGTTCCATAGCTGCGGCTTCAGGGCCTTGAAGTCCTCCCGAACAGCTGAGAACAGGCTGCAGTTGACTGCATTTACCACCTAGAGCAGGTCACAATTGGGACTGACAAGGGTCCAGGACACCTGGCATGGACTAATTGGAGCCCAAGAACCCCTGAAAGTGAGGGAAGGCAGTGGGGATGGCTGTGAGGCTGTGGGTCCCTCCACATGATCCTTACCCAGCTGAGGCTGGGCTCCCGGCTGAACTCATGGCTTCGGGCTGTGCTGAAGTCATAGTCAGGCCTGAAGGACTCATTGAGCGTTGCAATCAGATAGAAGAGGGTTTTTCGGCTGCACTTGTCACTGAGTGGACCCTCATCCTCACCGCCTTGGCTCTTGCTCAGTCTACATAAAGACAAACGTCAGCCAAGTCCACCATCCCACAGCCCCAAAAAGGCAGACCCCATCCGCTTACCTGCTGGGGCTAAGGCCCGAGGTCTGGGGTGGAGACAGTGCCTCCAGAACGTGGGGCTGGCCCTCCTGGCAGAACTGCTTGAACATGTGTTTGTCATCTCCCGCCATCTTACATGAGTAGCTCTCAATCCTGTGGAATGCAGATAGGATCATGGAGCATACTGTGCATTTCCCCCAGCCCCACACCGATGGGGTTCAACACAGGGCCAGAACAGAGACCTCAGACACCAGTCCCTGGAGCCTACAGCCTCACCTGCCAATGATGTGGGCATCTCCAGTCTCCACCGTCAGCTGTGAGTTAATAGCCTCGAAGCTCGAATTCTCTAATAGCTTCATGTCCTTGGGGAGGGGCTCTGTGCTTCAGAGGAACTAGTGCTGCCTGAAGATGTGGGAAGCCAAGCCATGGGTATGTGGTCCCAAAGAGCTCTGCCTTCAGCCCTCCTACTCTATAAGCACAGCACTGTACCAGCTGGGTCTGTCCTGAGCCCTGGCTTTGCACAGCTCTTCTCCCTCCCACTACCTACTCCCAAGCACTCAACACTGGCAAGAGAGTTGATGAGATCCTGTTACCCGAGGGTGGCAAGTTCAGGCTCCCGCACTCCTGTACCGCACAAGAGTCCTGGGGCCAAGCTGGGGACCCAACCCCATCCTGCTCACCGTGGGGCTGCCGGGATAGTCTCTCTCGCAACGTTCCCTAGCCCCATATAGAAGAGCTCCCACCCACCATGGAAATCACTCTGACTCCGCGCAAAACTATGACTTCTGCAGTCCATCTCAGGTTGGGCTGGGGTACTCAGCCAAGGTAAGAACCGGAACAGCCGGGGCTGAGGCCTGGCGATCACCTGGATGGGTGGGCGCTTCCTTTCCCTATTCTACGGACTGCTTTTTGGCGAGGAGAGAAAATCCCAAGCTCCTGGGTTCTACTCCGCAGGTATGTCCAGGCTCTTCGGAAGCCAAAGAGCGGAGCGAGGCCCCAACGCCCCACTAAGCGCGCCGCCCCGCCCCGCCCCGCCCCGCCCCGCCGGGCAAGAGGCAGTGGCCGACACGAAGCGGAACTACAAACCCCAGGAAACAGTGCGCAGGTTCAGGGGGCTCCCGCCGGGCCGCGATGAAACTACAAGTTCCAGGAGGTAGTGCGCCGCCGCGAGGCCTGCCGGGGACTGTAGTTTCGGCGTCCCGAGAAGGCGCGGGACATAGTGTGGACACCCACCTGCTTGGGTTGGGACAGACCGGGCCGGGCAGGCCGGGTAGCTTGGCGCTGGTCCCGCGGTGAAGCGGGACGGACTCCGAGCAGCGCAGGCTCCTCAGGACCGGAGGGCGGCGCCGCGGCCTCCGCTAGGGCCGCACTGTATCAGGGGGAAGAAGCTCCGCGACGACGTCCCGTTACTCCCGGCCCTGCCGGCCCATCCGGGCTGCCACCGCGACATAGCCTCACCCCCCTGCACAGCGTCCGCTCTTGCGACCGACCTGCTGCGGTCTGCCACAGATCGTACCAGCGAGCGAGCGAGCGAGCGAACCAGCGACCTCCGCCTCCCCCGACCGGACAACAACAAGCGTCCGCCAGGCCCAGCCCCACGCCTCTGAATGGTCCGCTCCAGCCTCGATATTCAGAGAGCGACCAGCTATTGGGGGCATTCCCCGCCGCTCAGTCCTGCCTTCCACTCCTACTGGCCGCGAAGCTTGTCTATCATTCTCTCGGCATACGAACCCGCCTCACTTCTTGGCTCTTATTGGTCAAAGCCCCGCCCGCCCCGCCTCCGGAGATCGACCGGGTCCCCCAAGCGGCGCTGGCAGACGTAGAGCGCCCTGTGGGGCGTAGCGGAGTTACGGTTGCTTTTTGTCAGTGAGATGGCGTGAACTCGGCACCCCGGAACGATCCGGATCTGTGTGCCTCTCCAGCGGCGTTGGGGGGTGGGGCATACTCCTCTGCCGGGCTGCAGTCTCCGCCCTCCCGATCCTTCGAGGCGCCTGCCTCTCAATTGTGCCCGGTGTTTCGAACCCTTACACTTTGCCCTCGAGGCCCCCCTCAAACGTGACCGGCCGCGCCGGTCTGTGTCCGCAGACCCTCGGGCGGTGTCCATCCCTGGGCCCAGCGGGTGGACCAGGCTCGGCCAGGCAGCTGCCCTGGGTTCTTCCTGGGCTCCGACACTCTGGCTGCACCCGGAACCCAGGCTCGCGGTCCCGATTTCTGGCCGGAAGCGCTCAGCTGCCCAACCTCACGGAAGCGCGCTCTCCGGCAGTGCACGACCGCACCGGACCGTAGATGGCGCCGCCGGCAGGCGGTGCAGCGGCGGCTGCGGACTCGAGCTCGGCCGCGGTGCTCCTGGCTGTGCACGCCGCGGTGAGGCCGCTGGGCGCAGGGCCGGAAGCCGAGGCGCAGCTGCGGAGGCTGCAGCTGAGCACCGACCCTGAGCGGCCCGGGCGCTTCCGGCTGGAGCTGCTGGGCTCCGGGCCCGGGGCGGTGAGTGGGGCGGGGGCGGGGGCGCGGAGTCCCGCTGGGCCCTTGAGCAGTGATTTTTCTTTGCTAGTCTCTGGCCTGTAAAATGGGGATGATGCTGATAACTTTTGTGAGGATTTGGTAAGATAATAGGCGGAAAAGGATTAGGACGGTGTGTTACCTTCTAGTATTGATCATCGTGCGGTTCATCATGGGAGACCACTGACCCTGGACTCTTCCCCTCCTCAGGTCAGTTTGGAGTGGCCCTTGGAATCGGTTTCCTACACCATTCGCGGCCCCAGCCAGCATGAGCTACAGCCTCCACCAGGCGGGCCCGGAACCCTCAGCCTGCACTTCCTCAACTCTCAGGAAGCTCAGCGGTGGGCAGCCCTGTTGCGAGATGCCACCGCGGAAGGACAGAATGGTAGTGCCCTGCAATGAAGTCTCATTTGGAGTAGCCCTGATCCCCCAGTCCTGGGTGGGGACAGTGGGGGAAAGCTGGGCATCTGGAAGGCTCCCAGGAGGAAGAAAGTGGAGAAAATAGAGGTTCAGGAGCTGGCGCCTGGAGTACCAGACAAGCATGAAAAGGAAGAACAAGCAGGGCCACAGGACCAGGGTGAGAAGACGATGAGTTCAAAAGTAAGAGGAGGGTATGCAGGGGAAAAGTGACAGGCTCAGGTCTGGTGCTACTTAAGACAGAGACTTGTGCGGTCACATGGAATTATGCTGAAAGGGCTGGAGAGGAGGAGAATGTTTTCAGGGGTCCTCAGGAGATGGAATTAGCAGGGCTTCAGGCTGTTTAAACAGTTAGTAGTCAAGACTGGGAAAGTCGAAGAGGCCAGGTAGTGCAGGGCTCCTAGAGAGGGCCTGTTTGGGAGGTGGCTGGGTTTTTACACAGTGGGGTTGGAGCTAGGGCTCAGGAGAGGGAAGCATAAAGAGAAGGTCTGACATACAAACAGAGTCTTGGGGAATGAAAGGAGAGCCGCCATAGGGGCTGGAAGACGATCAGACAATGTGATGTAAGAGGCCCTGGCAACTCAGCACTGAGAAAGGGAGAGGTTCTTTTTGGTCATTTGTTCATCAAATATGTGTACTTAGCCCCTACTTTGTACTGGGCATTTCACCAGAATGGACAAAACCTCAAATTCCAACTCTCTTGGAGCTTGCATTTCTAGAGGGGAGGCAGACATAAAATTAGTAAATAAACTTCAGTTAGATGATGGAGGAAATGGGAGAGCTATAGATGGGAAGGATGGCAGCTACTTACAATAGGGTGGCGAGAAAGGCCTACTTGATAAGGAAGCAGTACAAAAGGCCTGAGGGGAGTGTGTACTAGTGACCCTCGAGGCACCAGCGCAGGTTGGGTGCTTGGAGGGCTCTGCTCATTTTAACGAGGAGAGAATTCAGGATACGAAGGGCTTTGTGAGTCTTAGCAGCACCATGTAGAACTGGATGGGGACCCTTTGTTGCAGTGATCTGTTCTCCAGCAGGTGTAAGAAGGGGAGACAGCAGTGAGTTCAGCCCTGTAAGGATGCCTAGGGCAGGCAGTACAAGTGTGTTCTATGCACACTCCCCACAGGGGAGGGAGTCAGAAGAGGTGCTTGATGGCACCAAGAGGAGGTCACTGACTGCATGTCTACTGTTCGGCAGTAAAGGGCAGAACCCTGAGGGCTTTTTGATTCTGCTGTATGGAGTGGCACATGTAGGACCAGGCAACAGAAGGGTTCAGAAGGACTCCAGCTCCACTTAGTCACCAAAGTGCAGCTCCAGCATCAAGGGGAGTAAACCTTTGAGGGACTTACAAAGGGCAAGGCTGGGAGGAGAGGGCTTAACTTGAAATATGGCCTGAGGTAGGGCCTGACAGTAGACAGAGGTAAAGGTCCTTGGGAACCCAAGGGCAGAAAGGCCTGGGTGGAGGCTGCCAACCTACTCTACATCTTCCTTCTAGGCAGTGACAGCCCAGCCCAAGCCTTGGGCACAGAAACATGCCCTGTGTCCCTGCCCAGTCCCCCTGTGGCCCCAATACCCAAAGTACCCCAACCTGAAGTGGATCTTCCCCAGAGCCCTGGAGACATGATGGAGAAAGGTAGGGACAGGCAACTGGAAGGGGGTTGAAGAAGTAGCTGGTATCTGGCTATGACAGCTGTCTTCTCCCCCTATAGAAGAGCTGGCTCGGCACCTGGCCCAGGCAATTGCAGGTGGGGATGAGGAAGGAGCAGCTCAAGTGGCAGCAGTCCTGGCCCAGCATCATGTAGCTCTCAGTGTCCAGCTCCTGGAGGCCTGCTTCCCACCTGGTCCCATCAGGTGAGGCCTGGTCTTCCTTACCCTCCTGAACCTCCCATGTTTCCTGTCCAACCCAATCTACATTCTCACCCAGGCTGCAGGTCACAGTTGAAGATGCCACTTCTGCTGTGTCCTCTGCATCCTCCGCCCACATCTCACTCCAGATCCACCCCCACTGCACCATCGCAGCCCTCCAGGAGCAGGTGAGCATGGGGTCTTTTGAGCCCTAGGTATGGTATGTGGGGGAGAGGGACTCTGGTGACACCACCCAGCCCTGATCGTCTGGCTCCAGGTGTTTGCGGAGTTTGGTTTCCCACCAGCTGTGCAGCGCTGGGTCATCGGGAGATGCCTGTGTGTGCCTGAACGAAGCCTTGCTTCCTATGGGGTCCGGCAGAGTGGTGACCCTGCTTTTCTCTACCTGCTGTCAGCCCCCCGTGAAATCCCAGGTCAGTCCTTCATGGCAGTGGGGTGAGGGTTGGTGGGGTGCAGCCTGACATGGCCCTGAGCCTACTCCTTTGCCACAGGACACAGCCCTCAACACCCCCAGAAGATGGATGGGCAACTAGGACGCTTGTTTCCCCTGCCATTGGGACTGCCCCATGCCCCCAAGCCAGTGAATTCCAGCCTCCCCAGTCCTCTTCAGGTGGGCAAGGAACCAGAGCCTCTGGGGATGGGATGGGCCCCTAGATGGCTGTGGGCATTGGAAAGAGCAGAGAAGCAACAATCCCCTTGCCTCCTTAGCCTGGCTGGCCCTGTCCTTCTTGTACCTTCATCAATGCCCTAAGCCGTCCTGGCTGTGAGATGTGTAGCACCCAGAGGCCTTGCGCTTGGGACCCTCTTCCTACAGTCTCCACCTAGCAACCACCAAAGGTATAAGAGGCAAGGTGGGAGGGGGGTACCCCTCAGAGCATAACAAGTAGGAATGATTTGTCTTCCCCTTCCCCCAGGTTACAGAGAGTGCAGCTCCTCCCTCATATACCAAAGTCCCTGGACCACCTCCTGCACTTGTCAGACTCTGCTAGCTGCTGAGGATAGAGCCACCAGGGTTAGGGGTAAGGGCTATAAGCCAATCATTAAAGATACTTAAGAACCAGCCCAGTGTCCCCTTCACTGTGTCTTGGTGTGGAGCTGCCCCAACCCAGCTACCAGGTCTGCTTGGACTGAGGAGGCAGGGCAAGGTCTGGTCCTCCTCAACAAGTGGGGCTCCCCTAGCCAGACTCAGGTGACTACTAAAGAGTGGACTTGAACTCCAAGTGGTCATAGGAACATGGTACCGGGACCTTTTCCTAGACTGCACATCTATAGGGACTCTCCAAGCTGCTGACCACTGGGCTGCAGCTGCTGGGTGCTCTACACAGCCCAGCTTTGTGAACCTTCTGCTGATCCTCTCCCAGACTTTGGCCACCACTCCTCCCCACTGTTCCAGCCAGAGTAACACTAACTGTAGGAATGGTTGTTTTCCTTCCCCTTTGGGACAACAGAAAGCTCAGGAATTAGGAGCCCTGAGCCAAATGTCCTACTGCTGAGATTATGCCTCCATGACCCTCTTGTCACACCACACACAGCTGTCCTCGGGCACCATGTTGCTTTTCAATCTAGTCAATTCCAGTTGTCTGGCCTGGACCCATTACCCAGTTGCCCTGTGGACTGCTAGGTGTCATTCCATGGCAAATTTTCTGAACACCTCTATACATGTGTCCAGCCAAGACCAGAGAGACATTCCAGGTGCCCAGCCACTCAAAGACCATCCCCTTGGTGAGGTGCAGCCAAGGGCTCCCTGGTGCCCTCAGGTTGAGGCAGAGTAGTTCAACACCCTGACTCTTGCTTCATTCCAACAGTCCTTGGGCCTTTGGACCATGGCCAACTTGGCCAAGCCCTTTTCACCTTGTGCCAGGACACACCCACCCTGCTGAGTGCTGCTGCCTCTAAGAGCCAGTTTTCTCCTTTCTTTCCCACACCCAGGACTGTCTGGACTCAGATACCAAGCAGGGCAGGGCTTGACACACAAGGCATCAGTCTTAGTCCCATAGTCTCTTACAAACATGTATTCCTGCCACAGAATATCTCAAAGGTATTATATTGAGAAACTTAATTTATTCCCATGATGAGGGCTGAAGGAAGATCTGGAGTGAGAGCCTGGTCTTCCCCCCTCTCATCATCCCAGATGAAGAGGAACTGGACCAAGTGGGCCAGCTGAGGCCTGAACAGGTCTGGGACTGCTCTTGCACTTGAAGGCCTGTTCAAGCAAGATGGTAAGCCAACAATGGACAGGATCACTTGGGCGGCCGATATGCCAGCTTTCGACTTTTCAGGACTGACCACTTATGTCGCTTCATGGCATATACCAGAGGCAGCAGCAAGGTCGTTATCATCAATGTCTGGGGACAAAGCAGGCTCAGAGAATGGAGACAGGAAGGACCCCTCCCAGCCCCTCTCCAATGCCACCTGTAGCTCTTGCCCAACCCTTCACCTTGAGCCCCATGCGTTTGCGATGGTCGTGCTCTGGCTCAGATGCCCAGCGCAAGAAGGTGCACACATCCTTGGCAACCTGGGACATGGTAGCTGGTGTGCCTAGGTCAGGATAAGTGGTGAGGGTTACCCTTGGTGTACCTTGCTTTACTGAGGCAGAGACTGGCCCCAACCCAAGGCTTCAAAGGGTTAGGACCCCATAGGACTATGAAAGCTTCCCAAAACCTGCTAAGATAAACTGGGCAGCACCCCAGTTTAGAAGCAGGCAGGACATCCAGAGACAGGAAATCATTCTAGCGGATGGGGAACAGCTCATGGCAAAAGGACTCACCGTCGTCAAACTCCAAGACATCAGTGTAGATGGGAGGGGCCATGCCGATGGCCTGGCCGGGGAAGTACGGGTTGAAGTAGAGGCCTTCTCGGAGCGAGACCCCAGTCGGGGGCTCACAGTACCCAGTGAGCAAGGAGAAGACATAATCTTCACCACCGTGCCTAGAATGAGATCCATGGCTCCTCAGCCCCTGGCACAAAGCAGGGGCTCCCTGTCCCCTCCAGTCCCACCATGTGGGCAGTCCAGTACCTAGCTCGCACGATGTAGCTGAGGTCGGGGGGCAGGGCTCCATTGTTAGCAGCTCTGGCAGCCTCAGGGTTGGGGTATGGTTTTGGGAAGTAGTCAGACAGCTTTCCTGGCCTCATGAACATCTCTCCATCCTCATTGGGGCCATCCTGGACCTCCACCTGCCACCAAGAGTCCCATCACAACCTTGCAGTTCCACTACAGTGGGAGCCCCAAGCCCTATGTCCATATCTCCCAGCCCCGCACCTCTTCAGCCAGAGCCTTGGCTTCCTCTTCAGTGTAGCACACGCCCACCAGGTGGCGGTAGGCCACATAATCCATGCTGTGGCAGGAAGCGCACACCTGCTTGTACACCTGGAAACCCCTCCGGATGCTGGAGGTGGAGAAAGGGTTAGGGGCACTGAAGATTCCACTCCACCCAGTCCGCCCAGAGACTCCCCCAGCCAGCCAGCTGCACACCTGGTGTGGTCCAAGGAGGAGAGGAGGCCACGATGAGACCATGGATAGCCGGGGGGATGCAGCTCCAGATCACTGGCACTCACAGCGGAATGCAGAGCCACCGCCAGCCCTGCACCCCCTGCCGCCAGCACGCCTAGCGCTGACAGCATCACCTTCCGGCCGCGGGAAAGGCCAGACTTCGAGGACAAGGCCACTGCCTGCAAGAGCCCCACTCAGCGCCTGCCAGGACACCCGGGCGCCCACCTCTCCCACTCATCCACCCAGCACTGGCCACCGCCTGCAGGGCGCCAGACATACACCCTGCCCACTGCCCACCGCATCCCTCGCCGATGCTGACCCCGGGCCGCGATCCGGCTCTGAGAAGCGGGTGCGGAGCGCTCTTGGATCCTAAGCCAGGAGTCAGGCCCCAAGTGACCAAGGCTTGCTCCGGCAGGCCAAGGTCACCGGGCACCGGCCGAGGTTGGGCCGGGGTCATCTCAGGATGCGGGCCCTGGCTGGACAGCCAGCGGCAGGAACCAGCCTGGGAGCGCCCTCCGCGCGGAGGCCTCCGCCCCAACCGCACAAGCCTGCCCAGTCGTCCCCGCGCTCGGGTCCAGGCGCCCTGACGTGTGGGCGCCCGGTCCCGCTCCCGGGCTGCGCCGGGCGGGCAACGGGGACCAGGCCCGAGCGGAGGTGCCGCGTGGGTGACCGCCCCCCCCGCCGCCGGCGCGCGCCCGGAGCCTCCCCGCCGTGACCTTCACGGGCTGCGGGGCGCCCGACGGCCGGGGCCCCGGCCAGCGCTCACCTGAGGCGTCCTCAGCGGCAGCTGCCCGGGCCGCGCGGCGCCCAGCAGCCCCCGGGCACGCGCTCCCGGGAGCCCGGCGCCCCGCGGTCCCAGCACCGCCCGGCGAAGGGAAGCCGCCGCCGCCGCCGCCATGTCGGCCCTCTTCAGCGCGGCCGCCGCTCCCGTCAGCCCCCGCGCGGTGCCACGCGAGATCAGACCGCGAGAGAGCTGGGCGGGGGGCGGGGCCTAGGGCGGAACCGGAAAGTGTCCGTGAGGGGCTGGGGCCCGGACTCGTCCCGCTCCGCTGTCGCCCTGGAAACTGGCTGTTGGGCGGGGCCCTGTCGAACCTCCCATTGCCATAGCAACACTCGGACAGCCATCCGTGTTCCCCATCCCAGCTCCGGCTTCTGCGTCCCTGTCCCACGCTCAGGACCCTGCGTGCTTAATGGTATTCCCAGACCCGGCACCATGGCCCCGCGGATCCTCCCCTCCAGATGCCGCGCTGGACAGACCTCCAGAGAAAGGGGCAGCCCAGCCTTTCCCCTCAGCTCCGAGACACGGAGGGCAAGGCAGGAAAGCTGGCACCTTCGGGCTGACCCCCGCCCAGACCACGTGGGAGGCTCTGGGCTCCTCCAGGTTCGCTGTCCTGTCCTCTTTGTTCGTCTGACACTTAATACGACCAGAACTGGTATAGGAGCCACGAGCAGGTCAGCCAGCCCTCTCTCAACCGCCAGCGAAAGTGGGGAAGGACCCCTGAGGAATTCCCCCCCGCAAAAAGGAAAAAAACTAGCAAAATTGTCAAATTCTTTCAACAGAATGCTAGGAATTAAGCAAAGGTTTCTAGCATACCTGCGTGTATTCAAGAAAACAGGTGACCATCAGTAAGAACAGTTAACCGTTGCTGTGTTTTAACTTCCCCAGTGGAACTCTGCTCTCTGTCAGTGGCAACCTGGGAAATAACACCCTACATTCCTGGTACTGGAAGAACAAAACGCCTTCTGGCTCCCTGAAAGGCCCACTTAGAAGGCAAACTAAGAGCTTATCCAGCACCAACAGCTTTCGCCCAGACCACTCAGGGAAGGCAATGAGGTGATGGATAACAGCAGGGGCAAACAACACACTGAACAGAAGCTTAAAAGAAAGAGCCAGGTGCTGGACATGGTGTAGGCCTATAATTCCAGCACTGGGAAGGCTGAGTCACGAGTTTGAGGCCAGCCTGGGCTACCCAGTGACACTCTATCTCCAAAACAAAAAACAAGAATTAAAAAAGGGAAGAACAAGGAAATGGACAGGTACACAGAGGCTTTGTAAACCTAACATATTTCAGGAAATACAACTTATTCAAGTAGGGTTGTGGATATACTCAAGAAAGACCTAGTCGGGCACCTGTGGCTCACACCTATAATCCTATCTACTTCGGAGGCTGAGATAAGGAGGATTGAGGCCAGCCCAAGCAAGTAGTTTTCCAGACCACCATCTCCAAAATAACCAGAGCAAAATGGACTGGAGGTGTGGCTCAAGTGGTAGAGCACATGCTTAGCTAGTGCAAATCCCTGGGTTCAAAACAAACAAACCAACAAGTCAGGAATCATAAAAAGGAAATCATATAGAAATTCTGGAGTTGAAAAGTACAATAGTAGGAACAAAATCATATTGCATGTGGCTGAAAAGCAGATCTGAGCAGATAGATCAGCAAAACTGATGTTAGGTCAATTGAGGTTATTCAGTCTGATGAGAAAAAGAATAATAAGAAAAATGAATGGCACCCCAGAAACCTGTGGAACACCATTAAGTATTCCACCATATGAATAATGACAGTCACAGGAGGAGAGAAGAAAGAGAAAGGGGGCAAAAGAATACTTAAATAATGGCCTAAAACCTGCAGAGGTCAGGAGGAATGTAGTTTGAGGCCAGCTGGGCAAATAGTTCATGAGACCCTAACTCAAAAAAATGCTCAATACAAAACAGGAGTGGCAGAGTGGATCAAGTGGTAAAGTACTGCCTACCAAGCATGAGGCCCTGAGTTCAAAACCCCAGTACTGCCAATAAATAAATACAGTTTTTAAAAAAGCCAGGTGCAGTGACATTCACCTATAATCCCAGCTTCTATAAGAGTCTGAAGTAGGAGAATTTCTTTAGTTCGGGAGTTGAAAGCCAGCCTGGGCAACATAGCAAGCCTTATATAAAGAAACAACAAAAAAAATTAAAATAATACAATAGAAAATATCTAATACAAAAAAGGTAGCAAAAGAGTTGAGAAAAAAATATGACATAGAAAACAAAGTATATAAATCTTACTATATTATTAATTACATTAAATGTAAGTGGACTAAAGTCTAATTAAAAGATTAGTAATAATAAAATATTATGATCTAACTATAATATGGTATCTATAGGAGATGTGCTTCAGATTCATAGACAAAAACAGGAAGTAAAAATTTGGAAGAAGATATACCATACTAGCAATAATCAAAGAGGCCTGTGGTAGCTACACTAATATAAGACAAACTAGACTTTAAGACAAAGATTGATATTAACATCAAATCAAAATTAGTCCATCAAGAATACATAAAGATTTGCTTATCTAACAACAGAGCCCTAAAATACATGAAGAAAAAATTAACAGACTAAAGGAAACAGGTAGTTTAGCAGTAACAGTTGTAGAATTCATTAATAAACAGGACAACTAGTTCAAATATGATACAAGACTTGAATACAGAAGCCTACTAGACCTAGCAGACATCAACAGAATGATCCATTTGATGACAGAATGATCCATTTGACTCAAGGACACATGGACCAATGAATTCAAAAGCAGTGATACAGCACAAAGTGTGTTCCCTGACAATAACAGAATAAAACTGGAAATCAATAACAGAAGGAAAACTGAGAAATCTACAAATAAGGGGAAATGAAATGACATACTCCCCAATAACTGGTAGATCAAAGAAAGGATCACAGGAGAAATCAGAAAATACCTTGGATAAATAAAAACAATTACGAGCTGGGCTCATGCCTGTGATCCTAGCTATTCCAGAGGCAGAGAGCAGGAGGATCACAGTTCAAAGTCAGCCCAAGCAGATAGTTCATGAGACCCTATCTCGGAAAAAAAAAAATACAAAAAAGTGCTGGTGAAGTGGCTCAAGTGCCTAGCAAGCACGAGACCCTGTATTCAAACCCCAGTGTTGCCAAAAAAAAAAAAAATGACGTGCAGTGAAAGTAGTGTTAAAAGGTGAATTTAGAGCCTTAAATAACTATATTAAAAATGAAGATCGTCTACCTAGAGAACTAGAAAAAGAAATATTTCAATAGAGAGATAAGTAATTAAAATAGAGAAAATCAACTAAAACAAAAGCTGGCATTTTGAAAGGATCAGCAAAATTGACCCACATTTGGATAGGTCAATCAAGATTAAAACATGATTACTCAAATTGCTGAAGTCAATTTATAAAAATAAAAAGGATTATAAGAGGATATTGATAATCTAATGCCAAAAAATTAGACAACCCATATAAAACAGTCAAACTTCTAGAGAAATGCAAATTGACCAAAGCAATTAAAGAAATAGATGAGCTGGGCATGACGGTACATCACTTGGAAGCTAGGCAGAGGATTGCAAGTTCAAAGACAGCCGGAGCTGCACAGTGAGACCTTGTCCCAAAACGACAAAAAGAAGCTGGTGGTGGTGGCTCACACTTGTAATCCTAGCTACTTAGGAGGCAGACATCAGAAGGATGGAGATTCAAACCCAGCCCTGGCAAATAGTACCAGGAATGGTTTAAATGGTAGAGCACCTGCCTAGCAAACATGAAGCCCTAAATTCAAACCCCAGTACCACCCTCCCCCAAAAAAAGTAAAGAAAGAAAAGGAAAAACAGAAGGAAGGAAGGAGGGAAAGAGGGGAAGAAATAAGAAGAGAGACAGAAAACTCCCACCTTCTCAGGAGGCTGACCCAGGAGGCTCTAGAGTCTGAGGCCAGCCTGGGCAATTTGAGACAGTCTCAGTATAAAATTGAAAATGGCTAAAGATGTAGCTCAGTAGTAGAGCACTTACCTGGCATGCACAAAGCCCTGGGTTCAATTTCCAAGGCCACAAAAAAAATCTTGAGCTGGGCATGGTGGCACACACCTGTAATCTAAGCACTTGGGAGGAAGAAGCAAGAGAATTGTCATGAATTTTAGGCCAGCCTGGTCTACATAGTGAGTTTCACACCAGCCTGATTCACATAGCAAGACCTTGTCTCAATAAAACAAAAACCAAACAAAAATCCTTAAGAAAGCTGGGAATGGTGGCAGGGCTATAATCTCAGCTCTTGGGAGGCTAAGGCAGCAGGATCATTAGCTCCAGGCCAGCTTGGGCTGCACAGCAAGACCCTGTAAAAGAAAGAAAGGATGGGCACAGAGGCTCAAGCCTGTAATCCTTGCGATGGATTACAGGCAGGAGGCAGGTCAGGAGGACTGAGGTTTGAGGCCAGCAGGGAGAGGTTTAGGGTAGTGGGGGAGTCATGAGACTCCATCTCAACCATCAGTTGAGTGCGGTGCCATGAATCTGTCATCTCCAGCTGTGCAGGGAAGCCCAAATAGGAAGATGAACGTATAATCTGGTGGGGCATAATTCGTGACCCTGTCTCAAAAACGACCAACTAGGCTGGCTCATGCCTGTAATCCTAGCTACTTAGGAGGCTGAAATCAGGAGATTCAAGACCAGTCCAGGCAAATAGTTTGTAAAAACCCCATCTCCAAAATAAACAAAATAAAATAGACTGGAGGCATGGCTCAAGTGACACAGTACCTGCTTGGCAATCGTGAAGTCCTGAATTCAAACACCAGTCCCACACAAAAAAATTTAAAAATAATAACCAACATGAAAGGATCGGTGGGGTGGCTCAAGTGATGAGTGCAAGCTCAAGGCTCTAAGTTCAAACCCGGTACTGCCCCCCACCAAAACAAATGAAGGAAGGAAAGGGAAATTGAACAAGGGGGGACTACCATAAAGGGAAAAGAATGATACAATCATCACAGTAGATGCAAAAAAAGCATCTGGCAAAAAACAGCATATTTTCATGATTAAAGCTTCAACAAACTAGGAACACAGAGGAAGATGAAAAGGGACACGCATGAAGATTCCACAGTGAACAGCACACTCCACGAGGAAAGAGTGAGAGCTCCTCTAAGATGAG